CACATGACACCGCACAAGCCGCACTGAGCAAATGTGTTCATCACCATGGACCAAATAACAAAATCCAACTTCCACACCGCCGTCGCAGGCGCCCTCGTCCCCGTCAGCGGCGCATTGGGAATATTCTTCTCGGGCGTCGGGATCACCTCCCTCGGCACCCCCTCGGGAATATTCTCCGGCCCAACATCCACCGCCAACTCCTCCGACCCCTTCAGTCTGAACCAACTCCTGTGAATCCCCGCCAATCTCTTGAGCCCATCGAAATCACCCATGATTCTGTACTTCAACAAGTAATACCAGTCCCTAAACCTCCACGGCGCCAGCCCAAAAGCAGTGACGCAGAACAATCCAGTCAGCACCTGAGAATCCCACTCCACCCACTTCCTCCGCGGCGAGTCGATATCATCACAGGTAGGATAACACATGGCCGGTGCGGCGTTGCAAAGCAGCAAAAACAACATGCCGCCCCACGCAACAATGTTCAAGCCGTAAATAGTCCAAAAGAAACCCATCGGCGTGGTGAAGAACTTCCAGAATGATTTCAGTGCCTGCTGGGTGGCTTCGCCCTTGGGGTATTTGGGCGGGAAGTGATAGCCGTTATCAAACGACCTTGTGTGCTCCAGAGGGCGCCTTGTTGGATGTTTATCGGTAGACTCGACCGGCTCAGCGGCGATTGTCTGCTCGTCGGAGGAAGGGACTCGCTTGGTCTCATTCTCGAGGGCGACTTGCTCGGCAGTGGGGAATTCGCCTGAGGGCGATGCTGTGCGGCCGCCGCCGCGGGGGATGTGAGGGGCGACTAGTGTTGATGCTAGATCTCCAGAAACGGCCATGAAGCCTCCGGGTACTCGTGAGGTTTCAAACTCTTCTGACAATCTTTGCACGAGGGAAGGGGTTTTGGAGCCGCCGCGGCCGCTGTAGGGTGGGTTGTCCATGTCGTCGAGGTTGTGATATATGTAGAATACTATCTCATGCGATGGTTGATGTTGCTTGAGAAAATGACCAAATTCTTATGCCAGGTGAAAAAAGTAGCGGTGATGCTGACGTCGGTGGTTAAATTGCTGGGGTGATGTATGTGGGAGATGGCAATGCCAATGACACAAGAGGCTGGGTGTCGCACAGTACTCACGCGAGCAGCAAGAATAAGTTGGCGGAATAACAAGTGTTGAGTTGGAAAATGAAACCAACAGTTCTCTCCTGGTGATGCAGAATTAAAACAAAAGTACTCGAGAGCAATGGGGTCAGGTTGGATAAAAAGCGAAAAAGGGCACAGGCGGCAGATGGTGTCGTCACATAATCTTGAGAAGGGCGAACGGCCACGGACGAGAATGGCAGCTTCCGCGTATTATCGCCTGAGACGGTGTCTGTGTCGTGGGAAGCTGGGCTGAGCACTGGCGCCCAATTGCAGCGAAGGCTTGGCTATGGACGTTTCAACGCCTGGCCTGGCCTGGCCAGGTAAGGAACGGAAGCGGGAATCGTTCTTGATGCCGTTCTCACCCACCCACCAATTTCAACGGGGGCAAAACGGGGAAATTTGGACATGCCGATGATGTCACAGCCACAAAAGGACTGTTCCCTTCCCACCACCAGGAATCAGCTTTCTGCGGATTGACCCCGAGAGTGCGTGAGTTGCCGTGAGTGCATATCTCACATGTAAGACCCTGGGAGAGACCCTGGGGTGATCCCCATACGATCGGATGTTGGACCGATCAAGATGGGAATCTGAGGAGATTCTGAACCTGGGTCTCCAGAGTATTTTTGTCGAATTCATAAGAGATACTTTTTGCCAACTTCACCAAATTCGCTTTAACAGGGCTAACCCTAACCCTTCCAACCTGTAAATCCAAGGACAACCATCAGCCAAGCTCCAAACCACCTGGCAGCTTCCCAATCACCAATCCACATTCCCAACTCGCGACAACAACTCAACCACCACCCTTCTCAAACCTTCCCAACCCAACCCTCCATTCAATGGAAAACCCACGATAATCCCACCGCATCCCCTTAATCTATCCACCGCTGCTGCGCCAGCAGCCACCCACCACCAAAAATGACAACCACCACCTCCCCCCCCCTCGACCTCACCACTCTTCCAGGCCCCTACCCAACCACCACCTCCCCCATGATCTTCTCCTCCCCCTCCTACAACCTCCCCCAAATCCGCACCCTCCACAAATCGCTCCACCATGCCATCGACGACAAGTCCTCCCGCCTGCGCACACAAGTCGGGGGCTCCTACCGAGAACTCTTGGGGACAGCCGACACCATCGTCGCCATGAAGTCCGAGATCGAAGCCGTCCATCAAACCCTCTCCGACATGGGCTACAAGTGCGGCCGCGGCGTCGTCGGGCACAAGATGGATGCCCTCGGCAAATTTACTTCCACCACAATGGGAGACAAAGCCGCCAGCGGGAGGGAGAGGCTACTAGCCGGCTGTCTAGGACAACTAGATGCGATTTTGAGGGTTAGAGAAAAAGCCAAAAGAGGCGAGAGGCTGGAGACGGGGGCGAGGTTGTTTGTTCTTGGACGGTTATTACTTGCTGCTGCTGCTGGGGGACAGCAGCAGGGGAGTGATGAGAAGGAAATGGGGCGGAGGAGGAGGGTTTTGGAAAAGGGGCACAAAATCAGACTGATGGGCGGGATAGATGCTGATTTGAGGAGGTATCACAAGCCTGGGACGGGAGATAAACAACAACGCGAGGCGGCGTTGGTCAGGGCGCTCAGCGCCTATGCTTTGGCTACCAGTTCTGGGGCGAGGGATGTGCTGGGATACTTTTTGAGGGTGAGAGGGGAGGCGATTGCGCTTGCGCTCGAGGTGGACGAGGAGGAGAGGGTGGCGAGGAACCCGGAGGATGTGATTAGGGCGTTGGGGCTGTATACCCAGACGTTGCAGGACGTGCAGGCTTTGGTTCCGGGGAAGCTGGCTGATGCGCTGATGAGGCTGAAGAGGGAGAAGCTGCTTGAGAATGAGGAGTTGCTGAAGATGGAGGGGCTGAGGTTGGATGTCTACAAAAGGTGGTGTGGGGATGAGATTCAGTTTTATACCCCGTTCATAAGACATGATGATCTTGATGGAAAGGCGGCGAGGGAGATGCTTTTTGGGTGGGCGGATAAAGGGAGGAAGGTTGTCTTGGAAGGGCTGGAGAACACACTCAAGGAGATGGGGGAGTTCAAAGCCATTGTTGAGCTGAGGACGGAGGTGCTCAAGCTGTGGATTTCAGAAGGTGGCAAGGCCAGGGGCTTTGATCCGTCGGAAGTGCTGGACGAGATAAGGGAGGCTGTCAATAAGCATATGCTGAGAGTGCTGGAGCAAAAGGTGGCCAAGTTGAGGTTGGTTGGATCAGAGGTGTCTGCTGCGGTGGAAGCATGGAAGGAGGGGAGGAGTGATCAACATGAGAGCCTGTGGGATATGGACTCGTACGATACCGACTTGTCGAACGGGGCTGCCCAGTTCACTCAGCATGTTGTGTCTAGGCTGTATGGCCGGAATGATGATGTGTCTAAAGCTGTGGCGAGCTACAAGTCTTGGTTCCGGGTCATTGACGATGTTGGAACTGTTGTCGACCAACTGAAGCGGCAACGGTGGGATAACGATGTGGATGAAATTGAAGATGAGGAAACCATTGAGGAACGCCAGCAACTACTCGCCAAGGACGACCCGGCGGCTTTGGGCAAGCATTTGAACGAGTCACTGGTTAAGTCGTTCAAAAAGCTCGACGAAAATCTCTCCACGCTCTGGAAGGAACAGCAAGATAGTCCTGACAGAGGGCACATCGCCATGTACTTCTTGCGAGTTTTACGGGATATCCGGTCTCGGCTGCCCGAAAATGCAGAGGTCAAGGGATTCGGGTTGGAAGCGGTGCCGTCGCTTCACCAAGCGCTCGTGTCGACTGTGGTCATCTCTCCGCTGGACGAGTTGGCCACAGTAGCTCTGGTGCGTAGGACTGTGGTAGGAAGAAGTGTCTGGGAGGGCGAGCCTGCTTTGCCCAGCTCCCCGTCACCGGGGGCGTTCAAGTTCCTGCGAAATCTCGTGGGGGCCATGGGTGATGCAGGCGTTGATCTCTGGAGTCCCACTGCTGTTTCTGTGCTCAAAGAAACTCTGCGAAAGCAGCTGTCCGAAGTGTGGTTGGAAACAGTCAGCAAGTTGACCGAGGGCCTTGAACCCGAGGTCCAGACCGAGACTGAAGAGACCCCAAAGCCTGAGGCCGAAGAAGGGACCTCGGATACGTCAGATCCCAAAGAGGAAAGTCTTGAGAGAGAAGCTGCCAAGACCGAGGCTGTACCAGACATCGTGCGGCACAGAGATCTTTTGGTGCAGTGGCTCTACGACATCTATTATCTCTCTTCCTTCCTCGGCACAGATGACACATTCAAGCAGCTCTCCGACGTCGTCCTCTCGAAAACAGACCTGGAACACAGCGCAACTGCCAAGCAACGGCTGCAAAAGACATCGCAGGACTACTTCAAGCGCACCAGCCTGCTGTTTGGTCTTTTGTCGTCATAGAACAGCACCATGATGCCGCTTGGGGAGAAGAGCAAACACCGCAAGGTATTCCGGAAAGTCTTGCTGGTCTCGTATAGTGTTACTGCCCCGCACTGTGAAAAGGGTCGCGCTTTATAAGCTTAGAGACGGGAGGGGGGTTGAAGAGCCAGGACGGGGGAGTATGATGACCTTGTAGCGTTTTACTTGTTCCACCAAGAGAGGAAAACCAACCCTACAAAGTGGTTGGCTGGTTCTTTCCTGGCAAGCGGGTAAATTTCGATTAGAGGGCGTTGAATGGCTGTCCGTCGGGCCTGTTGCAACCAACCCCCCCTTCGTCGCTAAGCTTATGGATGGATTCGCTTCACAGGAGTAGGGGCTGCTGTAGGGAACTTGTCTGATTTTTGGGAATACTTTGTGTTTTGGTTTCTTTCATATACCCCCTTCTACATAGATGGAAGCACTTTTAATAAACATATCAACATTTCTAATTCCAATCCTGTTTTTCCCCCACAAAGGCAACCTAAAGCTTATGCCTCTTCTTCCCACTAGCAATCTTTTCAAACTCCCCCTGCGGCACCCCGCTGACGAACCTCTCCAGTCCAGCAAACACCTCGGCGACGTTGTGGCTGTCGAGAACCTCCCTCTCGGGACGACGAATCAGTTTCTTGATTCCGAGCAGCGACTCCCCAACTAGATGCTCCCCGAGCTTGTCGTCAATTTCTGCCAAAACCAACCTCTTGAACTTTTCATCCTCCCCGTCACCCTTGCCGACTTCTGCAAAGACCTTGTTGACAAACCCGCACTGTTCCAACTGCGCGCTCTCAATCTTGCGGCTCATGATCAACGCCTCGCCTGATCTGGCAGGTCCGAGTTTTTGGACGAGCTGCCTGGAGGCACCGCCCTCGGCGACGAGGCCGAGGGAGGAGAAGGGGGTCAGGAGGAAGGTGTGCGGGACGGCGTAGATGAAGTCACTGAAAGAAATGAGGGCGGCGGAGAGGCCGATTACGGGGCCGTTGAGGGCGGTGATGAGGATTTTGGGGTGGGTGTAGAAGGCGTGGGTGGCGTTTAGGTTGTTGGCTACGAAGGAGGAGAGCCATTGCTGATGGGGGGTGGTGCTGGAGGTGGAGGGGGTTGTTCGGGTGATGGTGACGTCTGCGCCGGCGGAGAAGAAACGGCCTGTTCCGATGAGGAGGGTGATGAAGACTTCGTCGTGGGTGGCGACCTGGCGGAGGGCTTGGGCGAGGTCGTAGTACCCTTGGCCGTTGAGAGCGCCGAGCTTGGTGGGGTTGTTGATTGTTATTATGGCGAGGCGGCCGCGGTATTCCTGTCAGGTTTTGTCAGCATGGTGTATGTGAGCGGTCAGGGTGAGGCATGGGGACGGACTTACCACTTGGATGGGGGAGGTGGACGCCATTGTGACGGTGTTGTCTCTCACTGATCGTTCACAAACAATGAGATGAACGATAAGACGATGAGGTCGAGAATGAGCAGGTATAAGTCATGAACTGGGGACCTCCCCTGAAGTAGTAGTGCGCGCGCGGCTGTCAAGGGGTGGTGGCTGACAACTGACGGGAAATCTGGGGTAAACCCCACATTTTGGACCTCGGCACGCTCGGCTCGGTTGGTGTCCCCCATTCTCCCCGCATATTGTTCCAGGGGGTGGTGGTTGGAGGTCAAAAGGAGAAGATTTACGAAGGATTAATCATCCATGGATGGGATTCCATGTTGAGGTGTTGAGAGATCTGATTGCAAGATGCTGGTGCCTCTGTAGATGTGTTATGAGACACTCAGAGTCCTCTTTACAAGCGGCATTGCTTTAGGTACTCAGATGTGGCTCGTGCATAGATATTGGGTTAGGGTTAGCAGCCAAAAAGTTCGATTTAAGAATCAACCGGAATTGCGAATTCAAGGAACCTGACCAGGCGGCAGCCTTGTCGAAGTGCCGATTTTGTAGGCCTGACAAGTAGCCAACCAACCAACGCCAGTGAGCATCACCAAGGACAAATGTGCAGAATGAAGGCCACTTCGAGCCTCTGTACCAACCCAAATCACAACCTCAACAAGGCTGCCAATTGCCAGTATAATAAACGGTTACTGTACCCGTAACATAAATTCATTTTAGCCACCTTTTCCCAGCCGTTTTGTTTTCTCTACCTACCCATATATGCCCAAAGACCCAAACCTTATGCGTAATTAGAAACCCCCCTCTCCAAGACCGGCCGTTGATCCCACCGATCCCCAGCAATGCTCTCCTCATCATCCTCATCCTCACTCCCGCTCACACTCCCCTCGTCGTCACTTTCCTCATCCTCCTCATCCCCCTTGCTGTACAAGAAAAACTGCACAAAGATGCTCATATCCAAAAACAGCGTCCCCGCACTGCCGGCCAGCCACGACAAGTTCACCAGCACATACTGCCAGTAAATCCTAGCCGCCTCCCCATCCCTGCACTCCCCATCCTCCCCGCAAACCGGGTCATAAGCCAGAATCGACAGCACATACGTCAGATTCCCCAAGCACGCAAACAGAAAGAACAAAATCGACACCCCCTCGGTCGACTTCCTCCTCCAGTTGAGCAACAACTGCGGCAGTCTCGATCCCAGATACAAAACCGCACACAACCACCCAAAAACCTGCCCCCAAAAATCCATCTGCAGAGGATCCTCCTCCCCCTTCCCACCCTTCTCCTCATTCCCCCCGTACCCCCTACTCAACCACCACCCACCCACCCCCGCCGCACAAACCATCAACACAGCCGAACTATTAAACCCCAAACTCTGCAACCTCGTCGGCGGACTCGCCCTAACCTTCTGCCCCTGCCCACCAGCTCCCTCCTCCACATCAATCATCGGCACCGCCGGACTCAGATGCGTCCAGCTCCCCCTCCTTTCCAACTCCCCTGCACTCCCATAAACCCCCTCGCTCCCACTCAAAAGCCCACTTCTCTCCCCAATCTCATCAGTTCCATTCCTCGCTGTCGTGCTCGTCGTCTTTGGTAGTGCTGGTGCTGGTGCCGGAGCAACAGGATCATCTCTCAGCGTGAAACCCCTGTAATAAAAACACTGCCCCAGTAGTACAATATCGGCAATGGTGTAGTAGATCGCCAAAATGATCATCGTAGGCAAAACCCCTTGCATGACGGCTCCCAGGATGTTGAACACGTCGCCGAGGAGCCAGACGACGATGAACTGGATCGAGAGGCCGTCTGCGCTAGAGCGGCGGAAGTTTTCGATGATTTGGGGGGAGAAGACGACTACCCAGCAGGCGATGGAGATGGAGCCGCAGATGCCGGATATGGCCTCGACGTCGAGGTTGAGGGGTGCGGTTGGGGGGGCCATGGTGGTGGCGCGGTTGGTTTGGTGTGCTCAGTTGTTGGTGTGTATGGCGGATGTTGTAAAGAGGAAGGATGAGAATTAAAGGGGGTAAAAATCGGCTGATTGATGATGACGGGTGGTAGTGGATTTAAAATTGTGTCGATGTGTTTTAATGTCCGGATTCGGAGTTGGTCGAGTTTTTATAAACTGATGATATAAACGCGTGATGTGCGGAATTTAAAGGGGCGGCGGAAATATTAAAAAGCAAGACAGTGGGAACTTTTGAAAAAAAAGATTGTTGTGTCAAATTGAAATTGAAAAAAAAATTTTCAAATGAATCTCTCTCTCTCTTACGGTCAACGACACCCAGATTCGATGATGATTATGGGGCTGCTGGAGAGAAATGAAAAAGGAAGAATAGACAAGGGGGGAAAAAATTAGAGTTTCAGACGGTACATGCAGGTCCGACGACAGCAGAAAGAAAAGGCACTTTTTCTCGAATCGCGAATCCCAAACTTCTCGGTCTTGGGTGGCTTTGAAAGGGGGCGGGTGGGGGTTTTGGTGGGGCTGCATGACGCCACCACTTGATTGCGGGGAATGTGTTCTAGCGCCGCGGTGCACTTCCCGTGAGACCCACAGTTTCAATGTTTAAAAGGGCTGCTGGCCATCAAGGTATCACCACAGTGGGAATGTGGCCTCAATACGAAGTATAGTCTTTGAGAGACTTTTGAAATGGCAAAGATCAGGGCTGGAGGTGATAGTTAAGCTTTGAAAAGGGACGGAATGTAGTTTGTCAGGCAATAATTCCAATTTTCTCCATAGAACATGCACTCTGTCAAAGCTTACAATTGAAGAGTGCATCCATCTCTTCAGCACCACACAAGCTCACGATGAACAACATGGCCGGCCGTTTTACCAGGATAGCTGCCGCTGGATTGCGCAGTCCAGTCAGAGCTGGTCCTGGTATGTGAGCCTGCTGCCCTACTGCTGCGGTTCGCTGACCTGTTTATTATTCCAGCGACCTTTCACTCCACAGTGCCTTCCAAGTGCCTGCAGAGAAGAGCTTTCGGATCATCTGGGCCTGGCTATAACAAAGGGCCTGTCTCCGGCAGGATTGATGAAGGACTCAAGCTCGCAATCGGGTTTACTGCTTTAGGTCTCGTCGGAGCTATCACATACGATGTCACCGACGAGGTTCTTCATCGTCACCGTCAACGTCAGCTGGACAACCATACTCCCGGATTTCTGATTGCATTGGAGAACAAACTACTGGGTCGGCCTGTTGAGCATGTAGAGGAGGACCCCGATCATACGGAAGCCCTGATCGACAATGCCGGAGGCACGTTGAGTGATGCCCAGGAAGAGCTGGCATTCCACGAGACTGACTTGGGCGCTCAGCTGCACACCGATGGCACTCAGTTGGACAACGACGGCAATCAGTTGGAAGCCCAGGAGACTGAACTAGAGAGCGACGCGACTCAGTTTGACGTCCAAGAGTGTATCCGACAGAATCAGACCCAGCTTGAGTCCATCCTCCAGAATGAAGAGAAGGACGGAGAAGCGCGAGCCGCCATGGAAAGCCGCCTCGACGACTTGGCGTCCACAATGGGAAAGTTGAAGGCGCGCAACGTGTCAACCCGGAAGGTGTCAGCGAAGAAGGTGTCTCGGTTTGAAGACAATGTTCTAGAGTTGCAGGCTCGGCTGAAGAAGTTGGAGGCAGTGAATGAGAGGGCTGCTCCCAAGGCTGGCCCAGAGCAGCCAACGCTGCGGGTTAGCTGGTACACCGTTATCGCGTGTGCCGTCGTCTACGGCTTGGGAAGAAGCCTGTGAGATCTTGGAGGATTAATGCCCCACTTCCCCGCGCTCGCTTATCTAGACAGTGTAGTACAGTTATCGCTGCCGCACAGCAGCCCTGATAAAGCCAGATCAAACACTGTGCCTGAACCTCCGAGCTCCCTTAAATCCGTCATCAACTCTATAAACTCCCAACTAGCATCTGCAGCATCCATGGAACTGCTCTAGAATCCCAACCCACGCAGAATTACATGCCAATGAGCTACTGACGTGCTAACCCTTCCCGCTTTTGCCGCAACCAGTCCTGTGATTCTGCCGAACCCTCCCTCCTCTCTCTCGCCGGCGGACCCGGCGACCGGTCCATGCCTCCCTCTTATCCTCCAAACTTCCCAGCGACCTCCGCGGCGCACCAACAACCACCACAACTATCCTCCTCCCGAAGACGACCCCGCGTCGACTCCCACTCGGACCCCGACACCAACGACAACACTACCCGCACCGCCGCCAGCAACAACCTAGGCAAACGCCCCCGAGGCGAATACACCTTCTCCCCATCCGCCCAACTCCCCACCCCCCATCAACAAGACCCATTCCAGCCCACCATGTCAGCCAAAGCCCAAGGCAAGCGGCCCGAAGTCATAGACCTCACACAAAACTCCAGCCCCGGCCGGCCATTCAACAGCAGTTACGGCGGCGGCGGCGGCGGTCGACCAGGTGGCATCACAGGCCTACAACCCCATCTCGGTCCACGAAAATTAGTAATCAAGAACCTGCGCCAGACGACATCGACGCAAAGGGCCGGCGCGGACGAATACTACACCCGAACTCGAGCTGATTTGGATAATGCCCTGGACGCTATCTTTGCCGGCCGCCCTACAGGCGAGCCTATGGAGCTGCTGTACAGAGGGGTGGAGGATCTATGTCGGAAGGGCGAGGCGGAGAGCCTGTACAACCGACTGAAGGATCGATGTGACCGATGGCTTACCTCGGATGATGGCATTGGGCAGTTGAGGAAGGAGGTCACTGCCAATACCACGCATTTTAATGTAATTGAAGTTACGGCGGCGTTGATGGGGGTGTATCGGAGGTGGAATGCCAGGATGTTGATTGTGAGGAAGGTGTACTCGTACCTGGACAGGAGTTACCTGCTATTGCAGTCTACGATTGGGAAGGAGGACAAGGGGAGGCAGGGGGTGAATGATATGGCGATTAGTTTGTTCAGGAAAGCCGCGTTTGGGCCGAGGAGTGCGACAAAGGCATTGCCGCTTGGGGTGATGGTTCTCAGGGGAATGATTACGCTCATAATGCAGGAGAGGGAGGACCAGGAGAGGGAGCAGATCCCGGGCGGGTTGGATAGGGTGCAACTGCTGAAGGACTCGGTCACGATGCTGAAGGTGTTTGGGGTCTATGGCAAGTTCTTCGAGCCCTGGTTTTTGGAGCATTCATACGAGTTTTACAAAGAATTCGCCGAGCAGAAGAGTGAAAGCTGTGGGCTGAGGGATTACATCAAGCACATCGATGCGCTGCTCAAGAGGGAGGAGCACATGTGCGACTTTTACGGGTTTGACAGCACGACGAAACGACAGCTGCTGCAGGACGCGCATGGGGTTCTCATCACGAAGTATTCGGAGAAGCTGCTTGACACTGGGAGCGTGGCTAAGCTCCTCGAGGCTGAGGACGTGCCTTCTATGAAGGCGCTCTATCAGCTGCTCAAGCTGTCCGGCTTGCAGAATAAGCTCAAAGAGCCGTGGGACAGCTACATCAGAAAGACTGGCTCAGCGATTGTCAGTGACACGGCGAGGGGCGACGAGATGGTCATTCGCCTTTTGGAACTGCGGCGGTCGCTGTACGTCATGATCCGGGATGCTTTCGACCAGGACGAAGTTTACAGTTACGGCCTCCGAGAATCCTTTGGCGGCTTCATGAACGACTCCAAGAGTACTTCGGCTTGGGGGACAGGTACTTCCAAGGTTGGCGAGATGATCGCCAAGTACATCGACATGTTGCTGCGTGGTGGCCTCAAGACTCTTCCCAAGTCCTTGCTGTCAGACAACAAGGACAAGGCCATCGCTGAAAGAAGCGGCCTCGCCGCCGCAGGCGACGAAGACTCTGAACTGGACACACAGTTGGGTCATGCTCTCGAGCTGTTCAAGTTCATCGACGGCAAGGACACGTTTGAAGCCTTCTACAAGAAAGACCTGGGCCGCCGGTTACTCCTGGGTCGCAGCGCCAGCCAAGATGCGGAACGGAGCATGATCACCAAACTTAAAGGCGAGTGCGGTGCTAACTTTACGCACAACCTCGAGCAAATGTTCAAGGACCAGGAGCTTTCCAGGGACGAGATGACGTCCTACAAGACCTGGCTGGCGGGCACAGGCAAAGCCACAAAGGGTGGTGTTGACCTCACTGTCAAGGTCTTGTCTCACTCTGCCTGGCCGACGTACAACGACGTCAAAGTCACGCTGCCCAAGGAGGTGTTGGAGCAAACCACCAGTTTTGAAACGTACTACCAAGCAAAGCACACTGGGCGTAAACTCACCTGGAAGCACAACATGTCCCACTGCATCATCAAAGCCCGCTTCGATCGCGGGCCAAAGGAGCTTTCGCTTTCTGCCCAGCAAGGTTCGGTCCTGATGCTCTTCAACGACGTCCCCGACGACACCCCCTTGTCATACAGCCAAATCTCCCAATCGACCTCTCTGACGGGCGCTGAACTCGACCGAACCCTCCAGTCCCTCGCCTGTGGCAAGTCGAGGGTCTTGTCCAAGGCTCCCAAGGGGAGGGATGTTTCCCCTACTGATACCTTCACCGTCAACAGGGCGTTTGCCGATCCCAAGTTCAGGGTCAAGATCAATCAGATTCAGCTCAAGGAGACAAGGGAGGAGAATAAGGAGACGCATGAGAAGGTGGCGAGGGACAGGCAGCTGGAGACGCAGGCGGCGATTGTGAGGATCATGAAGAGCAGGAAGACGATGGGGCATGCGCAGCTTGTGGCCGAGGTTATCAACCAGACCAAGGCCAGGGGGGCGGTGGACCCGGGGGAGATTAAGGCGAATATTGAGAAGTAAGTTTTTTCCTGGAGGAAGATTATGAGGGGGAAGATTGCTAACGTGGGGATAGGTTGATTGATAAGGATTATATTGAGAGGGAGGAGGGGAATTATGTGTATTTGGCGTAAGCGGAGGGGTTGCTGTCGAAGTGGAAAAGGGGTTTTATGAAAGTCTGTTTGTTTGTGTTTGTATTCAAGGGTATGGAATGGAAGCACAGCGAGGGAAATGAAATGGGATAATATGTTAAAAGCGCAAGAGAGAACTGTTCCTACGACTGGGGGTATTACAAAAGCGGGATTCGAGTACGATGATATGACGCAGTGGACTGTTGATGTTGAAGGGTAGCTCAGACCTTGAGCGCAGAGCAGAGGGATGAAATAACTCAATGTTGCGTGTGTGTAGTATGAATGTGGGAATTCCAGGCCGGTTGTGTGTTCGGGGGGAGGGGGTTGAGTAACGATGGTGATGATAACAACACCCTTCTGTGCCTCCTTGCCAGCGAAGTAGCTAATAAATTGAATACTCGCCGGCCAGTTCACCAGTATTTCATACCACCCTCATGGGGTTTACTGGAAGACTTGCTCTTCCCTTTGCTTACGGTTCGATTCAAGGGGGATACTTTTTTTTGTACTATTTTTGCTGGTACCTGGACAGGAGCGAGATGGGGTGAGGAGAGGGAAGGAGCAAAGGCAGCAAAGGTAGCAAAGGGACGGAGGGAAGGAGGGAAGGAGGGAAGCAGCAATTTAGTGGTTGGCGGTGGGTCGTGCCTTCCTTTCTCTGGGGTTCAAACAGTAGTACCAAAGACAGGAAAGAGCAACTGATACCTGTGAATCTCCTCTATTGGCGCGAAGTGACATACTGTTACCATCTACGCTAGGACCTTGACCCGTCTGAGAAACCACGGAGAGCATTTCTGTGAACAGCACAGCCTTACGGGTCGATTTGGGGTTTCGATCTATGTGATACCTACTTTACCTACTCTGCCTCCGCCTTGTTCGAGAGGCTTGGAAAGAAAAGACGGAGGTTCGGACGGGTGGGATGGGGGAGGATGGTGTGGAGGTGCGGTGATGATGCTGTGCCCGGTGTGGAAGTGTGGCACATATATGTTGGTGTCGGGAAAAGTGGGTGTAGACTTACGAAGCACGCATGGAAGCACTGATTACAGCTTCTTCTTCCAGATACAAAATACACAGTACCTTACGCAGGGCTGGACCTTGAAGCCAACAAGATAAAAGACGGAAATTTCCCACCATGAAGCTTTTCACAAGGTCCACGTTGGTCTGAGGCATGGGTGAGTAGTTCGGTGTACGCCGGACCTTTGCTCCACAGTCTTGATGGTGGTGAGGGTGCTGCCGTACGGCGCAGAACGGAGACCTGACGCAGGCAAGATGTCGGTTGATGACTGTGTCCGCAGCAGGTAGGTGAAGGGGGGGATAACACGCTGACTTAAGGGTCGTCAACTCAAGAGGTGTGAGTTCTCTTTTTGGTGGGAATTTCATGATTGTTATTGACATTGTTTTTTGTGTGCCTGATAGATCACGGGCTGATGGCAAATACTTACCAGAAATTGACGCTCAAAGGAGCTGTCAACCGAGTATGTTTGTTGGTGATTTGGCCTGTTCGTTTAATCCAGCGGTTAAGCGTCTGGCTATTGTGTGGAGATGAGGGTTGATTCCGGCCCAATCGGTGTAAGTGGCTGGGAGGGAGATGCCTGTTGGAAGCGCTGAAGGGATCTTGTTCCCATATTGGATGAACAGCACGGGCATTCTTGAAGAGAAAAATGACAGCTCACAGGACCTCTCAGGGCGTTCGGTCGGCTGAGAGGACGGGCTGAGAGGTTGTGGTTCGTGATGGTGTGGTTCCCCTCATGCTGTCATCCCAGTGGCTTGCATCGTGGACCACCGTTCCTGCACTCCGGGTGCCACAGAGACATTTCAAACCGCGCGGGGGATGCGGTGCCACGAGGGCAACATACGAGTGGCATATCTGACTGTCGACCCCGTGAAGAAGTTTTCTTTTCATGTTGTGACTCGGGGTATGCATCGTGAGAAGAAGTCATGGTGAAGAGGTTCAGTCAAGAGATACTGAAGGTAAAGGTCTCGACCACCGGCCAAGTGGACCTCATTTACACCCCCGTCGATGGTACGGCGGGGAGTCCACAGCTCCCGCCGCCGCCGATCCGGCTGCTTCCTTGGCCGGCCACACGTGGAGAGGCTGCTGAAGAAGGGACCCCCTGGCGAAGAAGGATTTGACGCGCCTTACACAAGACCTCAACATGATGACGGTGGAAATCACCGACCGATTCTCATTCATTCTCCCGCTGTTCGAAGGATTTATCAAGCGCCTCCCTCACGCATTCACCGTTCCCGGTCAAAACACCGTTCAGTAAACCCAACGTCGCCATCGTCCTGTCGTGTGCCCTGAGGTGTGGGAAGGAGAAGCCATTCCATATCGAGACAGGACCCAATGGCCAGGTACCATTTATAAATTTCGCTTATGCGGAGATTTAACTGCTTCCCAAAAACACCACGACCGTGCTGTTTCCCCCCTGCCAGTGTCTTTGGTTCATCATCCAGATTTCGATAGAAGTCGAGCCATCGAATGGTTCATATCCAGCCGCTCTGGTCCAATCTGTACCTGCGTCGCCCATTCGGCTCGGAGCCAGGAACCGCGTCCGGGACCGCCACCCGCCATCAATATTCATCTCTTGTTTTTGTTCATCCATCCCAAATGACTCCTTCCGTGGTCAGATGCCCAGCAAACGTCTGTGTGTTGGTAGGCGCGTCTCCACCTTTGGACCTGAAGTCGAAACAACCAGAAGAGAAAAAAGTCTGGAAAGATGGTTCCCTATCGTGAGAGATCAGGAAGATGCAGAGAATCAATATTCTCTGCAACCCTTGTTGGGGGCGTGAGCAGCTCCAATAAAATAGGAAAAGGCTGCTCAATAAACACCACCTGGACCGGGCTCAGCCCCACGCACGCTGCACCCAACGGTGCATCTTGACCCATCTTGCGCGATGCGGATGCCCTTCCTGGAGGAGCCCATGCCTGCGTCCACGTCCCGATCTGGGAGGGGGGGGGTGGAGGGGCTTCCAGGGTCCCCTGGACCTCCCAAGACTGCTGGACTGGTCTCGCCCGCTGTGCCGCTGCTTGTTTCTATTTTACTCTTGGGCTCTGCCGTTGCTGCTTGCTCTCTCTCTGTTTGGGTGGTGCTTGTTTCCAACACACACCTCTCCGTCGTCACTCGTTCACCCTCACGGCCAAGGAGATATTCACTTATCTTCACGAGTATTCCGTCAGTCAGCTGGAGCCTTCTCCTTCCAAACTCGGCGACGGCATTATCGCTCAAATTATACCGCTCTCGCAAGCCGTCTCATTGGTGTCCAGCTCGTCCCACGCGGCAGTCGTATATTTACCCGGCCTCCCCATATTGACCTACCAGCAAATCCAGCTGGTCCAGGTCCTCAACCAAGGCCAAGTCCTGCAGGGTGGACTGGGGAAAAGAGAACAGGTCGATATAATACAACTCGACATCTTTGCCCAGGCCAATTCTTAGTGTCAACTACCTTACTCTTCACGTCCAACGCCGATCTGTTTTGTCTGACCCAGTCCGATCGTCCACTCGGTCACTCGTTAGGGGAAAAAAAATAACAGCTTCAAAAACCTGGGGTCGTGGTACAAGGTGATGTCGCACAGGTGAAATCGGAGCCATTTCCCGCAGCCGCGACGCAATACAGACATAAAAAAATGGCCGGAAAGATAGTAACCAGATCCTCGGGTTGGGCCCGCCGATCACAACCTTCATGGACCAACATCCTGACCCTCTTCGCTTGCTTGGCCTGTCACGCCTTGGCCTCCACACCAGATGGCCCTGAGCCTGTCGAGACATTGATAATCGACACCAGAAGTCCATACAAGACAGACAATGGGTGGGTGATGCTTTCACCAAGAGACGCGGAAGACTGGAAGCAGTGGAAGAAGCGTCAGAACGACAAGGACGACGACGAGGACGAGAAATCAAGCTCAACAGCCAAGCCATCAGTAACAACAACATTCGCCATCGTTGCTGGAAAGCCCACACAAAGCAGCACTACATCTTCCGAGACCGCCCCAAGCGCCCTGCCAACACATCTCGACAGCTTGGCCTCTGGGTTCAAGGAAGGATCCAACGGTGATCCCAACGCATGCCCCAAATTCATCAACTGGTTCCTCAACACCCCCGAGTTCAAGGAGTGCTACCCCCTCTCCATGCTCCTCGATGTAAGCTTTTCATCTCCATCCCTCTTCCCCTCCCATATATACTAACCCACCCAGCACTCCAAATCCTTCTTCGACGCCCAGCGCTCCCCGGTAACCATCACCCGCACCCTCGACGCCACCTGCGCAGCCAACGCCACCCGCTGCTCCCAGTACTTTGCCCAGCTAGCCCAAAACTTCACCTCGACGGAAAACTGCGGCAATGACTACACCTGGGGCACACCCGCCATCGTCAACACGTACAAGGCCATGGTTGCCTACGCGCCCATTTATAGTGTTGGCTGTTTACGGGATGAGAAGACGTCGGCGTACTGCTTTGCCAATGCCGTGGGCAACACCACCAGCAGGGGGAACACTTATTTGTACACCCTCCTCCCGTTCAACAAGAGCTTGCCTGGGAGTAGCGTGACGACGTGTGACGAATGTACGAGGCAGACGATGAATATCTACCAGGCGTCGACGGCGGATAGGAGACAGCAGATCAGCCTGACGTATGAGGGGGCCGCGAAGCAGATTAATCTTGTTTGCGGGCCGGGGTTTGTGCAGGAGACGCTGGCGCCCGAGGCGGTGAGGAGTTGGGCGGGGAGGAAGGGGAGGGTGGTGGAGTGGACGGGGTTTGGGGTTGTGATGGGGGTGTTGGTGTGGTTGATTTAAGGGGTTTTTTTTGGTCTGTGAGGCGCGTGGTTTGGTTCTTGTTCGATACCCCCCTTTTTTTGTTTTTTGTTTTTTTTTGGAGAGAGCGATTTCTACGACATATTTATTGGACCTTTTGTCGACATACATGCACACAAAAAGACAGGTTCACACACGTCATTTTACGGACCATCTTTTGGAAATGATGGGGAACTGCATAATTTCTATTTATTTCTCCCTTTTGGAAGGGAAGATGAAAATTTGGTGGGATGGACACAGAAGATTGGTTGAGGATGAGGATAATGGTTCTGGAATTTTGCGCGGCGTTCTTTTGGGAAGATTACTATGATTCGGGGCAAGGAAAGATTCATGACGGGTTGGTTGATATGATATTATTCGAGCGTGGAGTTCGTGTACATACCTTTATGATGTTTGTTTCTGGCTCGTATCGACCTTACTTTACTGGTCTACAACTGCTCAACAAGACCTTGTGTTAGAGAAATGTAATGTTGATGTTTATTGAAGATGTTAACCTCTATTTGTCTACCTATCTTGCTCGTTGTGCCGTGGCCTATCCATCAGGTACCTCACTGCCATTGCCCTCCGGCTGGTTGTCCACACACTGCTTCTGCCTCCACCATGCTGTCCAATATGATGCCGGCTTACTGACAGCACCACACGCACAGCATCACGCTCAACACCGGACACACCGACACCATGACGTGATGCAAGAGTATACTTGAACTGAAAAGATCGATGGAATGTGTGAATAAAAGAAAGCTATTGAAAGGAGCGTATATGACCATATATATACCCGAAAGAACACATATAACCAAGCTGCCAAGCTCTCTACAGCCTTACCTTCTTCACACCGTAGGTACCACAAGTGTACCTTTGCAATATACCCAATTATCCTGCTCCTCTGACCTTTTTCAATAGTTGCTACACAGTGAGAAAACTGCCAAACCCCCTTATCACCGTAAAAAAAACCGACCATCACTGACGTTTATACCTAGGTAGTTTTTGTCACAGAATATCCCCACCCGCACCATTTAATGGCCAGCATAATGCAAAACATTGCCATATACCATGGGCATCACTGGCATCACTGGCATCACTGGCATCACTGGCATCACTGGCATCACTGGCATCACTGGCATCACTGGCATCACTGGCATCACTGGCATCACTGGCATCACTGGCACCACTGGCACCATTGGCACAGTGACCATGCCGCCTCCATAAAACCCATTGCAAGAACAACAACAGCAGCAGCTTTGAACATGCATGCGATTCACCACAGGTGCAGGTGGCCACGCGGCCTGACCCGAAGTCACCTGTATGCTGCAGTTGCCATTGACAACTTGAACCGATGCACCTGGCCCTTGACAATTGACAACAATCGAGGTGTTTTGTCTTTGGCCGCCATTATTGACAACAACTGAGGCGCTTGGTCCCTGGCCGTGGTAGCTAACGCTGTGTGTGTAAGATGTGAGAGGCTGCGTAACTGTGCTGACTGTTCCCACGGTCCCTGAAACCTGGCGGTTGCCGGTGACGTTTGTCTGGGGTTTGGTTTCTGGGACGATGACCAGACTTGTGCCGGGTGTCGGTTTCTGGACTGGTTTGCTCGTTGTGACCACTGCTGGCTTGGCGGGTGTCGGTGCTACCTCTGGTTTCCTCGTCGGGGCAACGACCGGTTTTCGTGTTGGCTTTGGTGTTGGCTTCGAGGCTATCGGGAGAGGATAGAGGGCCATCAAGAATTTCTTGTCTCCATCCGACAGGACACTGTTCAGCGGTACGGGCTGGATTTTGTTATTCGTGTCTCCAATCTCTATCCGGTAATGCATGATGGAGTGTTTGTCGTACGGTGCGAGCTTTATTCGTGGGGACTGATGTTTCTTGTAATTATGCTGCACCTTTTCCGCAGTCCATCCTGTCTTTGCCTGTAGGACCCTCCAGTTCCAGTCGGCACGACAGTCTGGATGTCCGTGTTCGTGCTCCATGCCCAACGCATGACCAAACTCATGCAATATTGTGCGCTGGAGCCACTGCCTTCTTTTTTCCGCCGATTTTATTGTCGTCGACCGATTAATCCATAAGGTGGGCTTATTGGGGTAACGCTCTGCATCGCGGGCAAGGTAGCTACAAGACTCCTTGTCGTTGAACTGGACGCGGATGTCCGAGTCGCCAGAAGTTCCGTCTGTAAAGAAGAAGAACTTGATCCGCAGAGGAAGTGAGTTGTATATGCTTATTGACAAGCTGTTTCACATAGTCCTTTTCTTGTGTCGTACTGTTAAGGAAGCGCACTTTCAGCTGGCGCTTATCGGAGGGCCACAAGAGGTCGTTTCTAGCTGCTCCGCATACCGGCGCTGGGGATATGCGCCGTGAGAATGTGATCTCATCATCCTCATCGTCCTCATCGTCATCATCACTATCGTCAGAGTCGTCATCATCATACTCGTCAGAGTCATAGTCGTCTTCTGAAAACTCAGAGTCGTTGGTGGAGCGGATAAGGGCGGCGGCTATCCTCAACTTGGTACGGGCAACATAGGACTTCAAGCGACGTTTAGAGCGGTCCCATAGCCCGGGTTTGGTCATGTTTATCGTATCAGCCAATAATTCTGGCTCTGCTTCGCACTAAGAATAAGGTAATAAGATGGTCGTAGAGGATCCGGGATACAACCGCCGTCGAGAGACGTGAGGGGGTTGCTCAAAGGTCGGACCAGCTGAGAACGAGAACGCAGCTGCTGTTGACTGCCTAAACACATGGAAAGCAGGTCTCAGCCTCGCCGCCATGTCGTACAAGACATGCGTGCGAGGCTTCGAATTCATGGCGGCCGTTCATTCGCTGACCTCCTGTTTTACTCTCTGCGACGGCATTGCAATGACTTCGGGGCTACCAAGGGGTAAGGGCTGTTATTGCATTTCAACTTTCCCTTAACCATTTGATTAGGGCAGAGTGGATGGGATATCATATTTTTGGCTGGGTATTGTCGTATATGATAGTTAGCGACAGAGCCGGCCATGATAAGAAAGCCTTTTCTTGGAGAACAATTCTAGAATGATGGTGAGATTATTCGTCATCTTCTTAACCCCAGGTTGAATCATGATCAACAGACAAGATCCAAAACAGTCACATTCAAAAGCTCGACTCATCTCCTCGGGCCGTAACAAGAAAAAGAAAAAAAAAAGGAGGCAAAAGCCAAAACATACAACACCGAGAATTCCCCAGTGGTCACCCGCCTGAGTACTGATTCGGCCCCTCAACCATTTGACTAGGGCAGAGCGGACGGGATGCCGTATTTTTGGTTGGGTATGGTCGTATGTGATAGTCAGCGTCAGAGCCGGCCATTAGGAGAAAGCTTTGCTTCTTGAAGAACCAACTCTACCCTGTAGCTATTCAGGCACCACATCTCGATATCAGAATGATGGCGGGATCATTCACCATCTTCTTAACCCCCAGACTGAATCATATCAATAATGAAGACTGAGCAAACCGTCACATCTGACCCAGGCCCCCAGCTATCCCTGATGAACGATCCATTAGCCAAAAAAAGAAAAAAGAGAAAAAAAAGACTAAAACATACAACACCGAGGATTCCCCAGTGGTCACCCACCTGAGTACTGATTCGGCCGGTCAGCTGTTTGACTCGGGCAGAGCGGACGGGATGCCGTATTTTCAGCTGCGTATGGTCGTATGTGATAGTCAACACCAGAGCTTGCCATTATGACAGGATCGGTGAAGAGCTTTTCTTGGAGACCGAACTCTACCCCCTATATCTCGACAGTCTATTGACTATGCAGACATGCTTCATGAGCTCAGAAAGAGAACAAATACAAGAGAAACGGCAAGTAAGCACTAGAGATGTTCTCTTGGATGTATCTCAGGAAAGGCAAGTGGCCGTGTCGAATCATTGATGCTGGGACAACAGCTCATCATGGTATGTTTCTCTTCAAATTTTCTTTGAACAGGCAGTCAGTTAGAAAAGGGATAATATGAGACTGCCCAGAATATGGCCAAAAGCCAAAGGAATCAGCCACGAAAGACAGGAACTGACATACACATAGAACTCGACACCAGTAATCATATCATCACAAAGAAAGCCTCAGGAGTATGTCAAGATCAATTACCCGCTTTTTTAGCCCTGTCCCAATCATGTCGAATATCCTCGGTTTTGTCATGCCCCAGAAGTAACCCTTTGCTGATTCCGGTCGTCAGACCTTCCCGGTGAGAAGTGAACGCCCATTTTGACAGAATTTCCCCAAGAAACAAAGCACGCATTAGTTGTTGTAAGCTGCCTCGTTTTGTTCTTTTTTTTGCCTTGCCCGTGAGACGGAGCAGAGCTCTGGGTTGTATTCCACTAGCTTCTGAATTTGTTCGCTAGTTAAACCACAGACAAAAAGCAGACCTTTCCCTAAGAACCCCTGAGATGCCCCAAAACACGAAAAGATGATGTTGCCCCGCAAAGAGTGCTGACCATTTAGACCTCGGTGGTGACCTTGGCCTTGGCGTTGGTGACCTTGACGGATAATTGCTTGGCTCTGGCAATGATCTCGATGCGCTTTCTGGAGGAGACGTTGTGGGCGATCCTGTAAACAGTTAGTCAGTTTTGTTTGTTCAAACCTCACTCGGCAGCGTTCCATATTCGCGGGCTCGAAACGGGAGGATGGGGACGTACTCGGCAGCATAGGTCTTGTTGTGCATGAGGAGGAGCTCGACGTCACGGACGTTGCTGACGAGGAAGGCCTTGTGGCCGGAGGGCATCATGTGGCGGGTCTTCTTGTTGGAGCCATAGCCGATCTAGAGAGTATTGCAACCGCACAGGTTAGCCACTGTCGTTTGTAGTCTGTGACTTGTCAAGTCTAATTGTCTGCCCCCCCTCGAAAAAAACAGCAGCAATTCCGCATGCTCAATTCGAGGCTCCCCCGAGATGAAAATTGTGCCACATACCGAGGGCATAGCAAGGTTGCTCTTGAACCGTCTGCGGACTCTGTTGTCGATACCCTTAGGCTTGCGCCAGGCCGAGTCCACCCGCATGAACCGGTCACTCTGGTGGCGGGTGAAGCGCTTCGTGCCTGTTCAGAACCATTCTCGTCAACAATCATGTCCCTCCAATTTTCATCCATGAATCGCGGGTGGTTGCTGTGTTGTCGCCCAGATCGAGCGAGGGAAAAACATCGTGTGTATGATTTGTGCGGATAGTGTCGTCGGGGTGGGATATTTTGGATTCGTGGTACGTACGCTTCTTGACGATCGGGACGTGCTTCTTGGCGGCAACCATCTTTGCAAAGTGTTAGAAATCGACTGTATCAATTGAGCGATGATAGCGGGGGTGCCGGTACATACCTTGACGGTGTTTTGTCGGATTGATGGTGGACGATGGGCTGGCGTCGATATCGGGACCTACCTTGGGAAAAATTCCAGAAATTGGGAGAGCTGGTGGGCTTAGGGCTGGTGTGGAAAATTGTTAGACAGGTGGCCTGTGCGCACAGACTAACTCGCCGCGGAATCTTGGCAGTTGCGGCACAGATTGTCAATGTTGTGGGGCCCAAATATCTTATCGATAAGCCCTATTTCCGTCATTGATGCAAGCGATATGAGGCAGCATTCCTTTGCTGGACGTACGAGGAGAAGTTGGAGGATGATATGATCCCCGAAAAGCCATGATCCATTATGAAAATATGAGTCTATGTGCTTGCTGAAAAAATGCTACACCACCCTCAAAAAGCAGCGCCGGCCCCCTCAAAGACCTGACGCTATCATCTATCGATGCTTGATATTTCCCCTTGTTGAGGAAAGTCTCCTTGGTGACGTGCCTCATCATGGCCCTCAACAGACCCAGCATCCGAGGGCGATCAGGGGACACAGTCTTTCACTGAATCTGTGGTGTTGTAGACCACGACAGTGGACTATTCCTGAAGCCGTCTGGTCCAGTCTTTTGACAAACGCCCAGCCCGCCGAAAATCCCGTCCTACACTTGAAGCTCCTTTACTGGGTAGCGCACTGGGGGCCGCCCTCACCGTCATCCTCGTCTTCCTCCCACTCCCCACCGCTGTATCTGGGGTCTCCTTGGTGTGCGCCCATCTAAGATTTGAGTCAGCAGTGTTCAGTTTTCATCAGTCCGGGAGAGAGAAAACATACCTCTTCAATGTCCGCATTGTCCGTGAATTCGACGTCATCAATTTCGTCAGCAGCAATAGGGGGTCCTGGAGGAGGGAGAAGCTTCTTCAGCGCCTCGTGGTCGTCATCACTCTCGAGCCAGCCGTCCTTGGGGAACTCAATCTTGACAACAAGGTACAGGTCACCCTTGGCCTCACCGCGCTTGTGAGGCATGCCCTCGCCCTCGACCTTGAGAACCTGGCCGGGGCGGAGGACCTTGCCGCGAGGGTAGTTGATGTGAATACCTCTGCCATCAAGGTGCTTGACCACAACGCGAGAGAAGCCGGTGAGAGCCTCAGCAAGCGTGACATTGAGGTCGGCCGAGAGATCGTGACCGATACGGGTGAAGACGTCATGGGGCTCCTCGACAAGGTGGAAGATCAAATCGCCGGGGGTTTGGTCTGGCAATTGGTCTGCCTCGCCTTGGAGCACGATGCGGTCTCCTTGCATGGAGCCACGGTCGATGTAGAGCTCCAGTGCCTTCTTCTCCTTGAGAGTCCGCTTGCCCTTGCACTTCTTGCACCTGTCCTTCTCCTTGTAGTAGTTGCCCGAGCCCTCGCAGTGGTCGCAACGAATAATTTCTTGACGAGCGAGACCTGGGCCGAATGGGCGGAGAATCTCTCTGACACCCTGACCGCGGCACTTCTCGCATGGATTTGGCGCAACCTTCTCCTTCGCACCGCTGCCCTTGCACTGGCTGCACACAACCTGCTTCTCGGCGGCGAACTTGACAGTCTTCCCCTTATAAAGTTCTTCCAGCGTCACCTTGTAGGCCTGCTCTTCGTCGGGGCTGCGTCTGGGACGTCTGGGCATACCACGGCCACCGCCGGGCATGCCACCCATACCGCCCATGCCGAACATCTGGGAAAGGATGTCGTTCATGTCCATGCCCGGACCGCCCGGGCCGCCGCCTCTTGATGGGTCAAAGGCAGCCATGCCATGGGTATCGTAGAGTTCGCGCTTCTCGTCATCGCGAAGAATCTCGTAGGCTTGTGTGATGGCCTTGAACTTGGCCTCGGACTCGACACGCTTGTCTTCGGAGACCTTGTCGGGATGGTGTAGCAGGGCCAACTGGTTTGTAATCGTCAGTGTCTACCGGGTAAGACCCGTGGTGGCACAGTACATACCTTTCGATAGGCCTTCTTGATATCATTTGGGCTGGCAGACTTGTCTACGCCGAGGAGAGCTGCGAGTAGGAAAATTCGCAGTCAGTAATCTTTCAGACAGTCAAGGCTGCCTGAAGGATGTAGGATGCGACTCACCGTAGAGATCAACATCTTCTTCTTTGCCGTCCATGATTGCGAGACCCCGTTAGCTTCGGATTTCTATAAAATTGATCCGACGTGTGATAGCCGTATGCCGCAACAATTGTCCAAATGCGACTCTGTGGCTTTCCGGGGATGGCGGGGTGGTGTCGAAGTTGGTTGATGGTAGAGCCTTGGGAAAGCAGTGGTGTTGTAACTGAATTTTTAGCCCATGAAGGTTGCGCCCCGCGTTCCAGGCTGTAGCGAAAAGTGCTCCAGAGTGTGCCAGGATTCGAGCCACGACGCCCAACTTTTGCTGGGCAAGCAAACAGTTTTTAAATCTTAATCTTTCGCCTCAGAACAAACATTAGATGAAAGGCTGGTGAAACATTTTATTTGCTTCAAGCGTTTCCAAACTCATGTTTCTTACAAGCCTCCCCCACTGATCCTAACCTCATAATGCTCCTTGTTACATCCAGAGACATGGCAGCCAGTTCAACCTGGAGAACTCAGGATGAACACAATGACCATTGCGGGAACTTCTGGAGCCGATAGCCGGTAGGTGATGTGCAGGTGATATCTGATATTTCACTAGACATCCCATGTCTGTGTCTGGCCTGCATCTATCAGGTTATGAATCACTGGGCAACACTTCAGATTGCATTTCTCTGCCTAAGCATCGTCTACCGCGACGAATCTCACGTAAATCCGCCCTATCTCTGCATGCCAATAAAATCAATCTTGAGAATAGAGAGAGGTATAGTCAGATATCTTTCCATCTCTCATGGTCATGAATGACAAGAATTGTGAAATCCCATGTTGAAATCTTATCGTACAGCAACCCCACCTGAAATTCTTATCGGGCAGTGGGGGCTTGGGGTCCAATGCCAAGGGTTCTCTTGCAAGGGCCGCAACGCCACATGTCACCTCCACACTTGGAATCCACTCTCTTGGCGCTGTGGCTAGAGCATCCTGGCTCCATAGCAGCATCAACTACTGTTGCCTCACTTACACATGCAATTCTTTCCAAAACTGGGCAGCTCTGGAATTGAACACGATGAGAAGAAACAGCCTCTCGGGGCAGAAGCTGTGGTCAGCATACGGCCGGTGGAAAGCCCTCACCTCACTGAGGCGATCGCAAGAAGCATCACACATATTTCAGCAAAGATTATGTTTTTCATGCTCTTCGAAGCTCTCTCACAACCCAGACCGGCAAGCTCGTGAGAACAGGGTCCAGCTCCCCGACACACCATGTCGTACCCGATTTGCGCCTTCACCAACGGGATACCTTCACCTAGGTTCATTAAGAACTGCCTTGTTCAACTACCTCCTTGCCAGAGCTACTGGTGGTCAGTTTGTGTTGCGCATTGAAGACACAGACCAGGTGATTCTCTCTCCGGCTCATTCGCTCTCCATCAAGTAAACTCACATAGTCAATCTAGAGCCGTCTTGTACCAGATGCAGAGTCCAAGCTGTATGAAGACCTGAAATGGGCTGGTCTTTCATGGGATGAAGGTACCTCACCATCTGCTCGAGTCAGCATAGCCAAGCTCATTAACACCACTTGACAGGCCCCGATGTAAACGGGCCATTTGGTCCGTACAGACAAGTAAGGCTTCCCCTAGTAACTGTCAAAGAGGCATCGGGCACTGATTGACTCAGTCTGAAAGATTGCCCCTTTACCATCAACATGCCGCCGAGCTCCTGGCTGAAGGTAAAGCCTACCGGTGCTTCTGCACACCCGAAGCCCTGGAAGACCACAAGAGGATCGCAAATGCAGCCGGACAGCCGACTTTGTACCCTGGGACATGCAGTCACATCTCACCTGCCGAGTCAGAGGAGAGGGCACACAAAGGCGAGAAGTTTGCCATCAGATTCAGAAGCGCAAAGACCCCTACGGCTGTGAGAGACATCGTCTACAACCACTTCAGGAAAAAGGAGTTTGAAGATGACTACATCATCATCAAGAGAGATGGATTTCCGACTTATCACTTCGCCAATGTGGTGGACGATAAACACATGGAGATCACGCATGTGATCAGGGGCGCTGTAAGTAAACAAACAAACCCCTTTCGGATCGACAGGGCTAACACAAGCAACCAGGAATGGCTCATTTCTACACCCAAACACGTCGAGCTCTACAATGCTTTTGGCTGGGCTCCCCCACAGTTCGGTCATCTGGGTTTGTTGGTTGATGAGAACCGCCAAAAACTCAGCAAACGCCACAGTGGTGTCAGTATGACTTGGTATCAAGAGCACGGAATCCTACCCCAGACCCTACTGAATTTTGTGGCCCTGTTGGGCTGGCGCGGACGGGACACCGCCGCCACCGGGGGTGCCAAAAAGAAGTCCGGCCCCAACGGAGACGTCATGAGTCTGGACGAGATGGTTGACATTGTAAGCCCCGGACCTCACCCATAGCTTACCCTCTTCACTTACCCTGCCCATCCTGTTCGCACACCGTTCCGCCATCACCAACCAAAGCTGACTATTTAAACCCCCGACGCAGTTCAACCTCAAATTCTCCAAAGGCGACATCATCGTCTCCCTCTCCAAGCTCTCTTTCCTCCAAACCCAGCACCTAAAACTCCTCCCCCAAACCTTACCGTCCAACCCGTCCCTGCTCGCCGACCTGCAAACTCGGCACATCACCCCCTTTATGGACTTTTTATCCTCGGTCGAGTCCCTCCGCTCCCGGTCCCCCTCCCCCGAGATTCCTTCTTCCCTCGGCCTCCACCTCCTCGGCGACCGGATCCCCAATCCAAGAATCTTTTCGGCCCCGTACGTGGCTGACCTGGTGCAGATAATTCTCAAGTCTCAAGCCCACCTAGCAAAGTCTACCACTAACCCTCCCACCACCCCAGAGGGGAATCTCGTCCCTTGTGAGCACAATCACCCCCGTACACCCCCGGCGTTTTTCCCCCTGCGGTATCTATACTGGACTTTATCCCCTTCTGCCCTGCGATCGTCTCTTGAAACCTCCTGCATTGACCTCTCTACTGTCACGGTCAACTCGCAACCTTGTTCGTTGAGTCAGGCTGTTGATTGGCTGATTGGTGAGTTGAAGGGTATTCCTGAGGAGGAGTGGACAAAGGAGTATATTTCCCTGTTTTTGGCCCAGAGAAAAGAGGCGATTGGGTTTAAGGAGGGGGAGAAGGTGGCTAGGAACACGTGGAAGATATGTCGATGGGCGGTTTTGGCTGGGGAGGAGGGGTTGACGGTGCCGCTTAGTATGGAGGTTTTGGGCAAGGAGGAGACGGTGAGGAGGTTGGAGGCTGCGGGGGGGGTGGCAAGGGAGGGGGATAGTGGTGATGGGGGTGATGCTTTTGCTGCTGGGGTTGTGGGGGAGGGGGCGTTGGGGGCGGCCGGTGCTGGTACTGGCAAGGGAGGGGAGGTGGAGGCGGGGTCGTGGACGGATGTGCTGCCTGATATTGAGATGGGGGATGTCATCTTGGAGTAGGATCTTGTCTTGTTGTTGTTGTCGTTGCTGTTGTTGTTGGAGTTTTGTATGTAGGATAGAGAAAACGAAAAACGACTGTGTGAGAAGAAAAAGAGATGGGAAAAGTCAAAAGGGGCGTGGGGAATTGGTGGGATCGGCCTGGTCCCGGTGCTGTAAAGCTTCGGTTTGTCATCGCCGGCAGTATTCAGTCAGCTGTATAATAAAAAGAAGCACACCCGTTTCGGGGTTTCAGTCTCGCAAAAGGCGATACTCAAAGCCTGAAACGGGAGTGCTTTTTCTCCACCTGACTGAATGCTGTCGGCGGTGAAAGGCTTTACAGCACTGGGGCTCTCCTTAGACGGCTGATGTTGATACTGTTGTTCAATTTTGTGGGAATATATGTCTGTTGGTTTTGTCTTTCTTTGTAGAGAAAAGGGGCGATGATGGTATGGCCTCGGTTTTGGGAGTTGCATAAACTTCACAGCTCTACTCTCTGTTTCTCTCTACTCGGTTGTAATTATCAAAACAAGTTTCATCTCCTCATCTCTGGCACGTACCATACCTGTAGAGCTCTGTTAGCTATGATGTACCTTACCCAACCACAATTATGGCATTGTCTTCTTCATCTGTAATAATAAAACTGTATTTCATCTCCCCATCTTAATATGGTCCCTGTGTGACCCGTAACCCACCCATCCTGCCAGCTCCCCAAACACCAAATATCTAATGCCATACATTAATCATTCTCATAAACCTCAATATCTCTTCCCCTACTCATGCTTACACCCACAACCCTCCATCTTCGCCCTCTCCCTCAACCCCCCAAAAATACTCTCCTTCACCTCCGCCGCCATCAGCCCGGCCCTCTCCTTAACGGCAACCTGCCCAACATCCCGAATAATCTTGTCCAGATCCTGCCCCCGTGCCTTCGACGAGCTTCCCCCACCACCACCACCACCACCAGCACCACCACCCAACGGAACCCCCGTCCCCGCCAACCTCCCACCACCCTGCCTCCCCCCAGAACCCCCAACAACCTCCCTCACCTTCCCCCCCAAATCCCTCATCTGACTACTCGCAAAATCCCTATTCGTCAACAACGGATTCCCCGCCAGCGTCCCAACCCAATACTTATTCCACAGCGCATCCAACAGCTTATTATCCAACGTGCTCTTGAAATGCTCCACCTCCAAAGCATAATATTTACTCGCATGCGCTCCAAAATCCTCCATCTTCCCCAACGGCACACTCTTATCCCCTCCTCCCCCTGACCCTCCCGACCCAGACCCTCCAGTATAATTCTCCGGAAAAGTCCTAAAAGCCCCAATATCCACCTTCCCCCCCGCCACCGTCCGGTCAGGATCAACCACAATCGCCACCATCGGTCCCTGCAGCTGCTGCAGCTTCTGCGTCTCAACGTCAATCCCGCTCAGCCAGCACCCGTACCCCGGGTGCGAGTGATACCACCCAACCACATTCTCCTGCCTGCTCTCCTCCCTGCACCCGCTCAGATACTGAACCAGATACTCGTCTGCCTCCCCCTGCGCATTCACTCTTGTCTCTGTCCCCTCGACCGGCAGGCGGAACGCGTCCGTGACGACAAAGGTCGACCGGTCGATGAAGCCTTGCATCATGCCCATCACCTCGAGCGAGCCGCCCGAGCGGGCGTGCATGACCATCTTGAGGAGCGCGACGGGGGAGATGCGGACGGATTTGAAGTACTGGGGGTCTTGGACCCAGGGTTTGGACGCGTGGTCGCCTGTGTGGGAGGGGGGTTGGTTCGAGGTGAAGTGCGTGTACGAGTAGAGGGCGTCGAGGTGGTTGGAGGTGAGCTTGTCGGTGAGTGGGAGTTCTGTTGTCATAGGTAGGCAATGGTTAGTATCGATGAGGGATGGAGAGAGAGGCAGGGAGAGGTACCCATGATGGCGGATCCCCTTTTGCCGATCGGCTAACTGGGCGTGACTGATAGTGTCGCTTCTTCGCTGAAATTTGGAAAACGACCTCTTCTGAAATGACTGTTGAAGTCGCCGTTGATGGAAAGCTGGTGTTTGTCAAGGTGGGAGTTGTAAGCTGGAGCTGGCCGAGCTGCAGCCTGCTGCTGTGGTTGACAATGGAGGGGTCGCACTGATAAGATAAGGAAGCTCCCCCCCTGCCTGCCGTCAAAGTGCTCCTTCCTCCTGGCAACCCACAAACCTTATGAAGGTTACTTTAGCAAGGCAGTCGCAATGGGTAACTGATAATTATTTAATATGTGATATTCCATTGTATATACCGCTTTATTATGTACTCCTCTTAATTCTTCCCCACCGACTTATGCCCTTGAACTCCAAGAATGCTTCCCTTCCTCTCTCTCGGCAGCTCCCCCTAGTCCGTGTCTCAACTAAAAAAAAAATATAAACTTTATATAAAAGACTTCATCACCATCCCATCTTACAATGCCACCTCAACCCAAGACACCGCCACAAAACGAGAGTAAGAAAAAAAAAACCATCAAAACAACGGGCTACACCAAGGCTCCCAACCACACCCCCTTTACTGCCTCCTCGAACTCCTATGACTCAAAGTCTTCATCAACCCTCCTCCCCCTTCCCCATCCTCCCCCCCCTCCTCCAGCACCATTTCCCCCCCTTCATCCCTCACAGCAACAACACTCTGCTCCCGTTGCCCCCCACCACCCCCCTCCTTCAACTTATGCCTAATCGCACTCAACTTATCCCTAAACCCCATATGCCCCCCCGTCCTCTTCCTTTCCGGACTCCCACCACCCCCGCCGCTATTCATCACCTCCTCCATCCCCATCCCACCAACCCCCGCATTATAATTACTAAAAGCTCACCGTATGTATTCCCCATCCCCATCCCCAACCCCCCACTGTTCTCCCCGGCCTAAGCTTTGGTACTGCTGATGTTGCTGCAATGCTGCCCATTACTGCCCCCACCACCGCCAAATAGGCTTTTCGATCCACCCGCTACTATGCAGGCCTCAGCAAACTATCCCAAACCCATGTCTTCTCCCCCCCCCTGAACAGAAGAAGATGACCCGGAGCTGATCGTCGACTGCGTAGGCTGCGTCATCAAAAAGGTAGGTATAGCACCGGTAGCCTGCGTGTTAGCAACCACATGCCCAGCAGCTGAGGCTTGCTGCTGCTGCGGCACCGTCGCCGACCGCTGCGAAGAAGCAATGCTCGAACTCCGGCTGGCAGAAGACTTTGGCACAGGAATACTGCTCGCCGCCGTCGCCGCCCGCCTGATCGACTGCGGTGGCGACCGGGAAAAGTCCACCGGCGAGGCACCAACGCCGTATATACTAGAAGAGTCGTCCCCGCTGTTCTCTCTCGACTCACCGCCCGCTATCGAGCTGCCGACTGGAGTGGCAAGCAACACCGAGCTGGTCGCCACCTCCCTCAATTTTTGGACTGCTGAGCAATGTTAGGCCGATGTTTCGAGAACTTGTTGCCAATGATGGCACCCGTGTGGCTGATCAGGGCTTTGATCACCCGGCTCTTGAGCGCGAGAGCCAAGTCGAGGTTGGACCAGGTCTTGTTGCGGTACTCAATCGTTGGCATCCGGAAGACGAAGTCATGAACGTCTTCAAAGTTGCGCTCGCCCTTGCCCTTGTAGGAGACGCAGAGGACGACAGAGGGCATCTTGATGTAAGCGAAAGTCATGTAGTTGGAGGCGCGGTCGATCATCTTGGTGAGATCGTCTGATCGGGCCTTGGCCTTTTCTTCATCCGTAGCAGTTGACCGGTGGCGGAGGCCGAAGCGGGAGCCCTTGCGAGAATCGCCCGAGATGGAGATATTGGAGGAGAAGCCTGTGCCGGTCCGGCTAACACCCGGCCTGGGGGTGCTGCCGCGAAGGGAGTCATACGACCGTTTCTTATTCACAGCCTTGAAGCCGGTCCCCGAGCGGAAGAGTCGGAAGGATGTCCCCTCGCCAGAGTGGATGCTCAAAGCCTTGTGCTTGGGGGGGTCCTCGTCAGGATCCGAAGTCAACGTCGGACGAAGTCTCAGCTCAAGCGAACCAGCCCGGGTCTCGAACTGTGGAATCTCCGGCTCCTGCTCCCCGGGAACAGTAAGGTGATCCGTAATCTGATTCGCAAGAGACTCGCTGATGGACATGTTATCTCCCTCATCCTCCTCCTCCCCAGGAATCGACTGCTTGATCATGAAAGGCGACGTGTTCTTCCCCTCAGCCGGGGCATCCCCGTCAATCCCCGGGAAGATATACTCAAACAGCTTCTTGCCCACCTCTCGTTCAAGCTGAACCTTGAGCGGAAACAGATTGACCTCAAAGTGATCCATGATGGGAATACCGGCGATAGCCTCCAGCATATTCCAGTACACCCTTATCATCGGCTTCGTCTCAATGTCCACCACCCCAGCACTCGGCTCAAAGTAGGGCGCAATCATGGCCGGATAGATGGCATCAGGCAGCAGATTCAACCCCAGTATCCTCCCCACCTGAATCAAATTGATATGCGACCCATCCGAGTTGTCCGTCCGGTCATACTCGACGTCCTTCAACTGCAGCTCAACAAGCGGCTCATTGTTGTCCCTGATCAACTGCCACACAATCTCCTTGGCCGTGATGCTCCACTTCAACAGCGCGCTGCTGGTCGAGTGATCAAACTTCCTCTGGCTCGTCGTGATGGCCTTCATCATAAAGAACAGCTCATCCTCGCACGCGGCCAGATCCCGCTCCAGCACCAACCTATCCTGCCACCCCTTCTCGTCCATCTGCCTCGAGTGCGTCTGGAAGTGCGTCTTGATGTCCTCCAGCTGCCTCACCCTCTCCTGCAGCTTAATCACCATCTCCGGCGCCCCCCTCAAATCGCTAAAGTCCGACGCCAGCATGATCTTCTCCAGCCTCTCATTCCTCGTCTTCTCCAACGGCTCGCTGTACATCAGCAAGTCCAACACAATGACATAGATGGCATAATACTGCGACGAGTTGCACAGCGCGTGCGCCTGAGGGAACTCAACCCAAAGGTTGTCCGTCCTGCTCTCCTGCGCGCTGCCGGCCTGGCTCAGATTGTCCACCGCCGCCGCCTCGCTCGTGTTGACCTCGTCATTGTACTTCAGCCTCAGGGTGTTGTACTTATCATACCTCAGCATGGCCGAAGTCTTTTGCACCACCCTCTTGAACCCGAACGGGTCCGCCTGGAAGTCAAACATGACCTCCATCGGCACCCACGGCGGCCACGAGCTCCCCGCCGGCGTCCCGTACGTGTTGCCCGAGTACATTGACACCAGTTGCGTGCTGAACCACTTTTGATGCGTCACAAAGAACTGTGTGCTGTCCATGTTGACCAGGAACCTCCTCTGCACCAGACCGCTGACGTTATCCGAGATCCGGCTCTTTTCGAGGACGTCCACCACCTTGAGCTCCATCCCCTTGGCCGTGGTGAGCACGACATGCTTCTTGTTCTTGTCGCTCTGCAGCTGAATCTGCGGGGCAATCAACCGGACATGGTAAGCATTCTGCGTCGTAAACTCATCCGCAATGCCACCCGACAAGTCCGCCATGGCCGGATGCTGCGCGTCGATATTCCCCGTCGACCCCGAGAACTTCTTCCCGTCCCCTAGAATCTTTCGGATCCTATCCTCAATATCCTTTTGAATATCCCGGTCTTTACCGTTCGCATCCGGTGACTTGCCCGTCCCCGTCGGCGTAGCCGCAGTCTTGGATTTAGTCTGCTCATCCACCAAGTCCAGGATAAACTTGACCGCGGGCCGGGAGAGGTAGTAAACAAAACCCCTCCGCTGACCGACCTGGTGCATGTACCTCAGAATGATATTCCTCAACGTGTTGTTCCACTTGAGCTGAACATTATGCACCACGAACCGGTTCTTAAAGTCACTCGCAAACTCGCCCGTGACCTCAGACTCATCCGAATCATCACCGCGCAAGTAGTCGGGACGGTTAAGGTCCCCCTCCGTAGCAGTCGACTCCTCATCCTCATCACTGCACGAAGCAGCCCGGGGCGTCATCTCCCTCAACATCCCCTCGAGGAAAACCTTCCTCCCATGTAAGACACCAGTATGCCGACTCAAGATCTCATACTCCGCTCCCAGATCAGCAGTGGTGGTATCCCCCCTGACCATCCTCAGCTCAATCTCCCCAAGCGTGCGCCGGTGAATTTCCGCCTGCTGATCAATCTGCTCTAGCCTTCTCCGAATAAGCTGACTCTGCACCCTCCTAGGGTCATCATCATGGCTCATGATGCAGAAATGCGTCGGCTCCTTCCCAAAATGCGTCGTCCTGTCCGGATCACCATCAATCAGCCCGCCAATGTCCGTCTGCCGGAAATACGTCACCCTCGGCGCAAACGCAAGCGGCAAGATCTTGGTGTCTGGGTTCAGCTCCGTAGGCAGGATCCAGTCCAGCTCGACAAAGTCGTCCATGTCAATCCACCGCGAATCATTATCCGGAATCGTGAACCTCGACACGTCCGCCACATCAGGTTCCTGATCCCCGATATAGCTCGACAGCGAAGCCTTGGTCACCGCATCCGCCGTGGTGCCGCGAATGCTAGCCGACACAGCCCTCACATCGGCAGACACAAGATCCAGCTGGCCAGCATGTATCCTCATGCCGCTCGTCCTAGACTGGGTGTTCCGCCCGCGATCGGGAGTAGTGAACTCCTCCCTTCTCATGTGCAAATCCAGCATCCAGCTGTCAAACCGGACCTTGATACCCGTCGCAGAAACAGAATTCTCTGCGTAGTCCTCCACATCCTTGTGCTTGTAGATGTGACTGAGGAACAGCGGCGCCAGCAAAACATTGTACTTGATCGTAGCCAGATGCCTCCCAAACTTCTTGCTGTTCTTCTCTCTTCCAGGCCAGAGAGCACCCTGTCGAATAGGCAGAGAAAGCGGCCCAGAGAAAAGCGACCACCAGGCGAAGAAGTGGGTGAAGAATCTCGGGGTGAGATGCACCGTATTGTAGCTGCGAGACGGTTCCGTGACAGACCCAGTCCACTCCCGATCAACCGGCGCCCGAACAGCAACAGACAAGTGAATATGCTGACTGCGGAACCCGCGAAAGGCATCATACGGCACGCCATTCTCCGCCTTGGCGAGATGGGGCGCCTTGAGAATGACATCGTAATGAGGCTTGAACTCGAAGCTCCTCTCACCATTGACAATAGCCTTTTCAAACACCAGTCCGGCCATCACTTGCACCTTGCCGGACAGTTTCATGACCACTTTTTTGAAAGCCGCGCCGGATTTGTAGCTGCTGTCACTGGTAAAGCTCTCATCCTCGCCATGCTGCCTCCTCGTTTCACGGACGTGATGGCTGTAATCAGGCACGGCAAGGACATACTCCCCGCTGTCCACCGTCATGAACCGCTTCGGGTCATCATCAGCGTGAATATTCCACCTGACATCCTTCCTCCAGCACATGATGAAGCCCGCGCCGTTCCCAGTGACCTGGTAAGGATCCCTACTGCCCTTCAGCGCCAGGTGGACATCGCCGCCCTCCCTCCACGCCACCCGAACTCTGGAGTGGAAATTCAGCCGAATCTTGTCCCAGAACCCGACCTTTTCAGATGGATCAAGCTGCGGCTTCGTCATCGACTCTATCGCCATCATCATGTCCTGAATCGCAGGCTGATACGACGGCCCCCAGGTGATCCTCGTTGGATTGCTGGTATGGATATCAATCACCATGTCAGAGAAAGTCTTGACAGGCCCGATGGTCCTGCGGACGTCCACCGCAAAGCTTCCCTGGTTGGATGCCATTGAATCCAGATTCCGGCCTGGCACAATCTGGACTTTGATCTTTCTCATCGACTCTGGTCCTCTGTACTCTTCGGCAATGACAAAGTCCGTCGTCATGGACAGAGCCTGCATTCTCGTGGATTGGGATGACTTGGTCGAGGGAACATGGATAAACGGCAGTGGGTAGTCTCTCAGAGATATCCTCGCCTCGCCCATCTCGATCCTGACGCTCATCGGGACAAGCAACGCATATTTCATATCCCTTGGCATGCCCTTCCCGACCTTGTGCAAGAAATCAGGCAGGTCTTTCATCGGGAAAGACGGCTTGTCGAGCATGATGTGCAGATCGCTAAGCAGCGCCGACATCAACGCTGGCCGCTGCGGGACCTCGAGAATCTTTTCGCTGTCGTTCCAGTCCTCCGGCACCTCGTTGTGGCCCCAGAACGCAGCGTGCAAGTCCTTGGTGGCATTCTTGGACAGCTCATACTGCTGATCAATCCGCTGCTTCCAGCTTCTGGCGTTATGAATATTGAGCCTCTCTCTCGCTTCATTGATCGAGATCCTGGCATCCCCACTGATCCCCAAACACCCTCCCTCAGGATCATACCTCGGCGCCCGTCCCCTAAACCTCCCCTCCCCCCCACCAGACCGTCCCTGATCAGCCCCAATACTCCTACTCCTCGGCCCCCCATCCCCTGACATCCTCGTCTTCCCCCTCGACGCCGCCGACCTCGTCCTCAACTTGGCGCTCTCCTTCTTCGACTCCTCCTCATGGATCTTCTTCACCTTGACCCTAAACGCCTCCTCCCTCGCCTGCCTCTGCATCATCTCCACCTTCCCGGCCCGATAAATCACCCCCAACTTCCACTCAAACGCCCCATCCTCCAGCTCAAAAAGCAACGTCTTGGTACGGAGCGAGACTTTGGGCACATTCCTCGGCCCCTCCGGTCCCTTATCCAGAATATACTCATTCGTCCCCGTCTTGAACCGATGATGCAGCTGCTGCACCGACTTGATCGAGTTGACAAAATTGTCCGTAATCTTGTACACCACCAAATCATGCGGCACCGCCACCCTGATCGTCTCCGAGACCACATCAAACATCCTCTCATCCTGCACCTGCCCACCCGTAAACTTTTTCCTCGACTCCCGGTAGTCCAACCTCACGTTCTTGACGCTGATGATCCTTGCCCAGACCCTCCTCATCCTCGGCGCTTCCGCATAGAGCCTTATCAACCTCGCATGCAAAAACGGTGGCGACCAGCGATGTCTCCCCGCCTCCAAGTTACATATCTGGAACATCACCTGGGGATCAGAAGGTAAATCCGCCTTGATCTGGATCAACGTCGCCTTGAAATCAACCGCCACCAACTCTTGAACAAAAGACCTCGCGACCTCCCCATCAAGCGACAGCTCCGGAATAGTCCCCCCCGCAGAAGGCGGCGACAAGTGTCCCACCACCAGCCTCTTCGCACCCATCTTGGGCGTACTCGGCACCATCACCACCGGTGTCGCCGGGCTTGGCCCCCCAGCAGCATTCGTCCTCACAAACGCCTTCCTCAACACCGCAACCGCCACAGCAACAGCATAATGCCTATAAAGCGAGTACTGCAGCAACACCGTCCTAATCTGCGAATGAACATGAAACACCGGCCCCTGGTTGTCACTCAGCGTCGAAAACGCCAGCTCCAACTTGGGAATATTCAAAAACGGCTCCACTTCCCACTTATCCTCCGCCTCAATCATGTAGGCTTCAAACCCCCTCACATGAAGCGATATCCTCCTCCCATCCCCATCATGATGATACTTTTTCCTCGGAGACATCGGAATCGTCTTCAAAAGATCAGTCTCGGGCGACATCATCCCCCGACTGCTCGCCCGTCGTCTAGACGGCCTCCTCTGAAGATTGTCAAGCCTCTGGGCGCGGTATTCGGTCGTCCACGTATCCAGCTGAATCGCCAGACCCCTCGTCTCGTCAGAGATGTCCTTGTCCACACCCGCCACCTCGACACTGAAGTCTGAGCAGGACAGCTGAAAGTGCAACAGCCACGCCGGCATCGCGCGCAGGAAATTAGAGTGCCTCGCTGTCTTTGACGAAGCCCTCTTGTCCGGCTCGACGTCCAGTCGCAACTGTCGTACAATCTGCCTCAGACCGTCCCCAATCTCATCTTTGACCATCTTCAGCGAGAAAGTCTGCAGATTGCCCGTCGCCACCACCTGGACGTTAGGCGAGGCGCTAAGCTGAATTTTGAGATCAAACGAGTCCGTCTCGAGAAGATCAATCTTTTCGTTTCCGGCCGAGGTCTGGTAGTAAAGATGGTGAGTTTGTAGCCGCATAGTAGCCGCAAGGCTGTAGTGAAGCTGGTCGACCGTAGAATGGAACGACTCCATATCCAGTGAAATGGACGAGATGGATGATATAATCAGATCAAAATCATCTGGATCAGCGCCTTTGTGCACCGGCGGGAGTGCTATTCTCACTACTGGCTCGTGCATGGAGAATTTGATGTTGGCCTTGGGGAGGAGGCGTGAGATGAGCATGTGCCGTGTCTGCGGTTCGGATTTGGGAGCTTTTGGTTTTCGTCGTAGCATAGCTATAAGAAGAGGGAGGTGTCGAGGATCGAGGTCGACGGATGGTGAGGTAACGACCGAGTTGGCGAATAAAATGTTGGCATTGCGCTGCTCAGCGGTGCCCTCGTGGGTGAGCTCGACTGTTTTAGAGGGGAGGGTCGTCCGAACGGTGGTGGTGGCCATGGGGATGTACATGATCCTCTCGGGCTTGCCATGTCCATCGTCGAGGCCGATGGATACTGACAACGCGGCAGCCAATGCTTCGTGGGCAGTATCTTTTGAGGGAAAATACATCCTATGTGCTGAGGACTTGGGGTCGAGCCGGTGGAGGTCGATGCCCACCTCCTTCATGGATGCGTTTAGAAGCACAGGATTTCCTCCAGGACGAACGTGGTCAATCTTTTTAGTCAGACCAACATAGCTGACAGCAAACTGAACCTCCTTGATGCCCCTAAGGATCGAGCTGACAAGCTCCTTCGAGTCGGAAACGGTCTGCATCAGCTCGTGGTTCGTTGTGCTCCCCGGTACATCGATCTCCTGCATCACCTGATCGACAATAACGCCCATAGGATCGGATTGGGCAAACTCCTGATTGCATTGGCTCTTGATCTGCTTGGACAGTTTCGCGCTGTGGCTGACATCGTCATATGGGACATGTAGACGGCCGAGCTTCAGCGAAATGGCGGCGTCGCGGAGACCGTCGAGGGCTTCGTATAAATAGCCGTGGATGTTCAGGGTGGCGCTGTCCAAAACCTCCAACGATTCTCCCCCATTGGCCGTGAAAAGAACACTCCTCAGCGTCACAATCCACTCCGCTTGCTGTTTCTGACGGCTCCTCTCTGCCTTCCCTTGCAAGAAGAAGCGCGCCCGGTCGACCATCTTCGACCTCGTGTCAACCGCCACGGTAAAACTGCCCACTTGCACGTTGCCCACGTCGACAATGTTGACCGAGGAATTGGTCGCAACCACATCCACCATCCGAAGCCAGTTCACCTTGCGGTGCAACAGCTTCAGCTTCTCTTTTATCTTGGTCAGGCGCTTCCAAGTCTTACTCCTCCCAGCCGACATGGTCTCGCGCCTCGTGATTTTCGGCACCTTCATCGATTCAGCAGCCGGAGGAGTGGAAGCCGCGCCATTGAGCTTCGTCTTTTCGTTATCGCCATCGCTATCCGAGTCCGAATCCTCGCTGCCTGCTGCCAGCCCCGCAGCCTTATTCCCTTCCAACTCCTTGATATCGACGGTAACGGCGAGTTCGCTGACGACTATGCTGAGCCAGGTGGGCTGGGAAAAGGTCGGTCGGTGGACGTTGAGGCCGAGGCCTCTGATGTCGATTCGTATGCCATCGCGCGGGGTGTAGGACAGTCGTCTGAAGGAAAAATAGCCTATGCGCTGGATCGAGAGGCCGGTGATGATTCGTATTACGGCAAATAAAACAAAGGTCGAGAGATAGAGAAGGACTAGGATTCCAAACACAAAGGTCGGGTTAAGGAGGGCCATCTCGAGATGGTATGTACAACGGGGAGGGACTGGTGGCAGGTGGTGACATCCATCAGTCGCATACAGTTTCGTGGTATCTTGGGACGTGTAAGTTTCCAAATCCACGGGATCCCCGTCACAGGTTTGAGGGGACAGCCTATCTACATTCACTCGCGCGACATGGGGAGCAGTGCCATGGTGTGTGGGATCGTTTCTCGTTTCGTCGAGGTAGGTAAGGTCGGGGATCGGAGGACAGCTTTGCAGCAGTTGAGGTGCAGTGCCTGGCAGATAGCGGGACGGGAGGTTTCTTGTCAAGAGGTACACGGGATACTACCGATGCTACGCCGTGTGGTTAGGTACTTCTCATCATGGATGTTGGGTTCAGACTATTTACCAACGCAGTGGCGCAATTAAGGGCGCGGCAGGTAGAAAGTAGTTAAAAAAAAAAAAAAGACAACTAGCACTGGTATCAAAAGTAACAAAAAAGAAGTGCTCCGTGTGGAAAAAAGGGAGGGAAATTGATAAAGAGTCGAGGTCCCAATTCCATTCCCCAAATTCCACAGGCTCCAGAAGTGGGATGGAGTCGCTGGCCTGGGGCGAAATGAATGATCGCTTTGATAACCAATGCCACCCTGGTCACTTCCCCTGGCCAGGTCACAACCCGCCAAAATCCAGCCTTGGCAGGGAGCTTCTGGATGCTTTTCTGCCGGCCACCACCGCCCATGTCCACTGCCAGTCGAGCCAGTCTCCCACAAGATCTCCAGGCCAAGCTCATTTAGCGCAAGGATCAAGGTGTGAGTGAGTGAGTGAGTGAGAGAAAACGCGGGGTGATGAATTGAATCTTTTTTGTTGAAGCTCTTGTCGAGGAAGCTTTGTGTGCTGCTGAGGAACCAATTGCAATCTAGACATTCCATGAGCTGCGATAGGGTCCCTGCAGCTTCGAGAAACCTTTACAACCGTTTCTGCCGTGAAGCAAACCATTTGCGGCTGCAGATGGTGGCCCGTTCATTTGATAGGTGAAGCTGCAACAAACGGTGCTTCAAACAAATCAGACAACTGAGTCGTGAGGTTACAGTTGGCCGTCTTTATCCGAACACAGAGTAGTCTCGCTGCCATCTGATAATCTGATTGTAGCTGGCAAAATATATAGATATTATATACACGTATTTACATCTCGTTCACCGCCGCACGGCTCTCCTCTCCAGCCAGTCTGTGACGCACAGGTTCAACCCATCCAAGATCCAAGCGCCAGTCGTTCAATTGCTTGGATAGGTGTCATCATGAGCTTTCCATACGATCCGGGCTTTCGTTGCCTCGGAGGTTTCGCGCTCTCGGCCAGCTTTTGCACCAGAAGAAACGGGGATGGGGTTCTATCGATCGCTTAAGATTACCATCTCCACCAAGACTGACTCTGACCCTTTTTGTCCGCCTGAATCGGTGTATTATCCGTAGCCTCCTTGACTTCCTTTACCAAAGGAACCTGTTCAGTTGGCGGTGGTGTATTCCCCATCTTCTTGCTGTCGGCTTCCCGAAGCTCTCTGATGCGGTCGTCGATGAGGGCAATGTCAGCCTCTACTCGGAGCAGTTTCTCCTCCAACAGATTCACATAATCTTGATCTGAAAGTGCTGTAATGGGACTCCAACTCGAGTGCCAGAACCGCTTGTTCTTTGAAGGATCCTTTTCCGCTTCTTTTTGCTTGGCCTCCCTTCTATTGGCAAAGGCTTGCCCTCCAGCTCCCAGCAGGGAACATACGATGGCTCCAGGAATAATATTTCGCGGCCCTCCTGTTGGAATGGTCAAAATAGAGTTTGTTGTTGAGACCGCTTGGACTTGGACTTACGAATAGATCCTCCGACAACACCAGAGACTGCACCGGCAAAAGTACTTCCTTTGAGCTTGTCTCCGGGAGTAATCTTGTCCTCTCCTCCCAGAGCGTTAAAGGCCACCAACCGAGCAGCCCAGTAGCTTGAACCTAGGGCGAACCATTGACCACCAGCAATCAACGAGAAAAATACCGGTGGTGCACCACGAAGGATACCAGCTGCTCCTCCCATAAACAAGCCACAGGCACCTGATTACAACATCAGCAATTGTTCTGCTAGTTGCACTAAAAGGGGCTCAACGAGAAAGGCTCATACCAGCCGAGCCGCCCACTTTGAGGGAGGGGACTACAATATCCATCACCTCTTGCGGGAGGAGTTGTCTTTGCTCTTTTGACGGCATCTGGTCCCTCGGTGGCCTTTGTTCTGGTGAGGATGAACTGGGGTTTGTTTTCGATTCGTCGACCTCTGAAAGAGCGATGCGCTTCATTTTTGACTCTCGGGGTCTGCGCTCAGACGGCTAACCAAATAAACTTTTCTTCAGTGGGTTGGTATTCACTTGTGTGGTGTACTCAAACCACAGTGTGCAGTAGTTCAAGTCGATCATTCAGCACAAGTTTATGTAAAGTATGGATAGATACTAGCTATCTAATAGCTGTGAAAGCTTCCCCACTGCAGATGTGCCAAAGCTTCCCCTGGGTGTGGGTCTAACCTTATGTGGTCTAGCCTATAATAGAAGCGGCCGATTCACTTGGCCTCTCAGCGGTTCTCAGCTGGTGGTGGGAGAAAAAAAAAAAAGAAGGCCCACCAACCCTGTCGCTGCAATTTTTCGCTTCCCGCCGCCCGCAACAACCACGCACCGAGTTGACCCAAGGTTGCGAAACTTCCACTCCGCCTCCCACCAACCCGCCTGCTTCAGCTTTCGGGTCCGGACTCATCCATCACTCGACCCTTTTCGATACCTACCTACTTCTTGACGGATCCCCTCACGGTTCCCGTCATCAACTCCATCCTACGCGCTTCGTCTCGCAAGCGCGTGGCCAACTAAACCGCAATCATGGGTAAGCAACCATCTACCGCCTCCATTTCGCTACCTACCTCGACTGCCCCGCCCTCTGATTTATACCCCTCGCGACAAACACACGTTGCTACTCATGACCTCACTTGCTAACATGTCCTCTCCTCTCCAGCTCCCAAGAAAGAGAAAGCCCAGAAGCTGTCTCTGGGTGAATTCCTCGGCGAGAGTACGACCTCCCCTCCCCCTCTATGCCAAGACCCCACCGCCATTAAATTATCTTTAGGATGATGTTAGTGGTGGTGGTGGTGGTGATGGTGGTGGCAGCCTTGCTTCGCCCGACTGCATACTGACTGAGCAACACAGCTGGTGGTGTTTCCTCGTGGGCTGATGAAGTCGAGGACACATATGGTAAGTCGTCCTGAACTGATTGAAATTTCTTTTGCGCATTTGACTGACCGTCTGTAGGTTCCGGTATGCACCTCACCGTCACCATCCGAATCACCTCTGGAAAAGAAAATACTGACCAAACCTAGGCACCCAGTCCTTCCCCTCGACCGACCGTCGCACTGGCCCCAGCTCGTATGGCAATAACACTAGCTACGGCAATGACCGGGGTATGTTGCACTGCTGCGGTGTTGACGTTCACAAAGAAGAATCCTAATATTGTGTATCATAAAGGTTACCACTCGCTCCGCGACAACCTCCCCCAGGAGCTCCCCACCAAGCCTCCTTATACCGCTCATCTCGGCAACTTGTCGTATGATGCCACTGTCGAGAGTGTGACCGACTTCTTCCACGACTGCAACTGCGTCAACGTCCGCATTATCGAGGACCGCGAGCAGAACCGTCCCAAGGGCTTCGCCTATGCCGAGTTTGCTGATCTTGAGGGTCTCAAGACTGCTTTGACCCGCGACGGCCAGTCCTTCGAGGGTCGTAATATTCGTATCAAGGTTGCTGATCCTCGTAAGTTTATATCACATATACATGCCAAGTACCAACCAGCAAAGCTAACAGTCCTGTAGCCCGTGGTGGATTCGGCGACCGCACCGAGAGCTTCCGCGAGCTTGACTGGGGTGCCAAGAGAGGTCCCCTCGCTGACACTGGCGGCCGTAGCAACCGCGATTTCGGCGACCGTAGACCTCCCCGTGAGTTCAACGACGAGAGGCCGGTTAGAGAGGCCAGAGAGATCAACTGGGAGAGACGGGGCCCTCTTCCCCCTGCTGAGCGCCCAGAGTCTCGCGAGGGTGCTCGTGCCCGCAACACCACCGACTTCAGCGCCGCTAGAAGGGCTTCCCCCGCCGCTTGGGGTCCCGGAGAAGGACGCCAAGGTGGAGATGGCTCTCGCCCTCCTCGCCGCGAGTTTGCCGAGCGCCCTGAGCGTCCCGAGCGTGTTCCTACCGCCGCTGAGAAAGAGATCAACTGGCGCAACAACATGCGTCCCGTCGAGCCAAAGTCTCGTGAGGGTAGCGAGGCTCCTGGTTCTCCCGCTGCCGCCCCCGCTGCGCAGCCAGCTGGTAGACCCAGACTGAACCTCACCAAGCGCACCGTTTCCGAGGCCCCCGATGTGATCTCGCCTGCCCCTACTTCCAAGTCGAACCCATTCGGTGCGGCCCGCCCCATCGACACTGCTGCCCGCGAGCGTGAGGTCGAGGAGAAGCGCATCCGGGACAAGCAGGAGGCTGAGGAGAGGGCCAAGGCTGAGAAGGAGGCCAAGGAGGCCGCTGCCGCCGAGGCTGCTGAGAAGGCCAAGGCCGAAGAGGCTGCTGCTGCGGAAGCTGCTGCGGAAGCTGCTGAGAAGGCCAAGGCTGATGCCGAGGCCGCCGCTGCTGCTGGTACCAAGCCAGAAGTCCAGGAGGGTGAGGGTGAGCAGAAGCTTCCCGTCAGAACTCGCGAGCCTCGTGAGCCTGCTCCCAAGTCCCGCGCCGCCGAGAGTGGCAGCTGGAGAAGAGCCGGTGATGCCCCAGCCCGTGGCCCCCCCAGCGGTCCCCGTCGCAGTGGCGGTGCCCCCCGCGCACCCCGCCAGGATGGTGGACGCCCTCCTCGGTCCAACGGAACCACCGATGCTCGCGGCCCATTGTCTCCCACCACCGAGAAGGCTCCCGCCAGCCCTGCTGTCGATGATGACGGCTGGACCACTGTTACCCAGCCGGTTAAGGGTCGCCGCGGCGGCAACCGGCCCCTTGCTTGATTGTATTATACCACACCACGACGCCCCCTCGCTTCTTTTCGATTCCCAGCACTGGCGCTTGCCCGTTTCCAACTGCATGTTTCGTCATTGCTTTGGATAGACGGGTATGGCGCTGACATCCGACCTCGTTCTCTCTTCCAGATGAGTGTCAGCCGCTGAAAGCTCTTTCCATCGATCACCATGCCGCTTTCTTCTTGGGGATGACGGATAAACCGCTTTTTCCCTGTCTGCCCTTCCTGGATGGACCGGCGCATTTGGGCGATCCCGACCGCGTTATGCCAAAAAAAGTAATGGGTTGTTCCTGCGTTTTTATTTCGATTTTTAGCCACGACGTTTTATGCACGGGAATGACACGCAACTTCTCGATTCTAGATTCGGGGCCCTCGCCTACTCGGGTGATGGGCTTTCAATGAAGGGTGTGTGGGGTTTCTGCTCGGTCGTCAGAGCAGATTGTTTTTATTCTGCTTTTCCAATCGAGGAGCACAAAATGGCGTCTTGGCTTTTTGGGAAGGAAACGGGATCCTTTTCTACTAGATATGGGTGGGAGGGAACCACGCAAGGGAAGGGGTCTACCGGATTTTTCTACCTGTTATTTATGAAGAGAGCTTTCCGTTGGTCATCTCTTTGTTGTTGTTTTGGTCTTTTGGGGAAATAACACACATTTCCTTGTTTCATGTCATGTCTGCCTGCATTTGACCCGAAGCTGTTGTGTTGTCTTGTTCGTCAGGTTTTACTGTTTTCCATGTCCGAGGTGCTTGTGGGTGTCTGTTATGTTTTCTAACGTGACGGGTCTAGAGATGGGATGGGGTATAATCTGTGAGGATGATGTTGAGTGGATGGGTTTCATGGCGGATGGTGGAGGTGGGAGGATGTGTTTTCCCCAAATGTTGTTCTCCCGTCTAGACCCGAGGGAGAGAAAGAGAAAAGTGTGGAGATGGTGAAGATGAAAATTCTCAATGGGACTGATGTTTCGATTACATGGCGTAATGATTGTGTTGCTAATTGACCCCTATTCCTCCAGTGATTACTCACTAGCCATCGTCCAGATTGGTACCAAATTATTTAGCTCAAACAGACAAATAACCCAGCCCAAAGCTTTCCCCAACCCAAATCGAAAAGCCTTTCCCAACTCGAACAGAATTCTTTCCCAACCAAACAGAAACCTTTTCCCAACCCAACCGAGACCTTTCCCTTCGACTTGACCACCCTTATGCAACCCATAAACTATCAAAAACCTCGCGCACCGCCCCCACGATCCTCCTCACCATCTCTCTTATTTCTTTGGCAGTGACATCATACGCCGGCATGACCATGATGACGTCCCCCCTCCCTTGATCATCGGCGCAGCCCTGGGAGGCATAAACCAGGACCTGCCAGTTCTTTAGTGCGGTTTTGTGCACCCTGCCCGCAATATCGAGTTCTCGCTCAAACGGCTGTTTTGTTGTCTTGTCGGCTATGAACTCTATCCCTACGAACAGCCCCCTGCCCCTTATATCCCCCACGTTTGGGTGCTGACTTAGCTGTTTCTGCAGTAGGTGGAGGAGCAACCCCCCCTGGGCGGCGACGTTGGAGAGGAGGTTGCGGGATTGGATTGTGCCTTGGACGGCGAGGCAGGCGGAGGCGACGACGGGGTGGGATTGGTTTGTGTGCCCGTGAGTGAAAACTTTATTGTGGGAGGTCAGGAAGTTGGACAGGGGGGTGGAGATCAAAAGCGCCGAGGCGGGCAGGTAAGAGGCGGAGAAGGATTTTGCTATTGTCATCATGTCGGGGGAGATGTCGGGTTCAGGGAAGGATTGATACGCGTGGAGATGGTGGGAAGGGGAGGTGGCTGTCCGGCCCATTCCGCACATCACCTCGTCGTAGATCAGGAGGATGCCGTGGGTGTGGCAGAAAGATTTTATACCGGAGAGGTAACCAGGTAAAGGGGGGACACAGCCGAGGGCAGCGCCGACGATGGGTTCGAGGATTAGGGCTGCGATTGTCGAGGGGGAGATGGTGGTGATTAGGGACTCAAGGGAGGTGAGGAGGGAGGAGAGGTATTCTTCCCGGGGGAGGGGGCTGCGGTAGGGGTTGCAGGGGGGGAGGTGGTGGAAGTTTGTCCGGTTGAGGACTGAGGTGAAGGGTTGTCGCCGGGTGGTGTGTCCTGAGGCGGATAACGACCCTATTGTCGTTCCGTGGTAGGAGTGAGAGCGGGAGATGATGTTTACCCTCTCCGGCTGACCGTTCCAGGCGTGGTATTCGAGGGCAAATTTTAAGGCGGCCTCGACTGCTTCTGAGCCTGTGTTTTACACAATTAGTATGGGTGGGAAAAGACAAAAAAGAGGGGGAAACTGACCAGAGGACATGAGATACATCTTTCCCATTTTACCGTCGGTGCTTTCACAGAGGAACTTTTCGAGTTGGAGCACGGGGTCGACGCGGAAGTGGGCGTAGGAGGCGTATTGGACCGTGCTGAGCTGGGTGGTGATGGCTTTGATGACGGATTTGTTGGATTTGCCGTGGCCGAGGCAGGCCACGCCGGCGCCGCCGCAGGCGTCGAGAATCTTGGGGCCAGAGACGGGGTAGTAGTAGTGGCCTTTGGCTTTTTTGAGGAGGGGGAGGAGAGGGGGAGTTTGGGTATTGGTGGAATTGTCGTTGTTCGTTTCGGTGGGAAAGGGGTGTGAGAGTTCGGAGGATGAGTCTGACAGGAGAATGTCGGCTTCAGTTTTACCAAGGGGAGCCTTGGAAGCTGAAGATGGGAGAAGGTGGGAGCGTCTCGAAGAAGACGAAGTGGAGAGTAGTTGACCCATTTTTTTTGTTTTATTTCAGTAGATGTGTATGTTTCGAAGTGATGCGGTCTAACTTGAGAGATCTCTCGGTGGTTCAAGCCGGCAGTCTTATATGTTGATATCTTTCCTGTCTCTATGTCATGCCACTAGCATCTCCAACTCCCCTAACTAATCTCCCGTCACAGCTCACAATATCATCAAGTCCGCTTCCGACAAACGAACCTCCATGACGGGTATCACCCACCACTATTCCCCTCGAGTCCGATCCTGTATCCATATCCACCCGAGCTCCCTTCCCGCAACCTCTGCAGCCCGCCTTCTCCTGGTTTTCTCTCACCCAAAAGCCATAACAGGACCTGGCCTCCCGTCCGCCAATAATTTTCCACTTCATGACAGCACCCGTCACGAGTTCCCTGCATATGTCACTCCCCTCCTACGGTTTACCCCGGGACAGGAGGAGACAGGCGGGAAACCCCTCCGATGCAGGTCGCATATGTCAATGTCATGCCTTCTCTGGCTGCCAACACAACCCAGTCTCTGCATGTGTAACAAGTTCCCGGTCATGCCACGGCTCTCGCTGCCCAACATCGTCTTGTCAGCGCCGTAGCACCTCAAAAACACGAGTCGGGCTAGGTATGTAAGGGTGGCAATGATGCGAGCCTACATGCAGCCGGTGAAGGTGGTACAGCTAGGACCGGCGCAATCTCAGTTCCTGCCAGCCAAGGAGAGTCCTGCCGTTGTTGGCACGACATATCGGCAGATTTTCATAGACCAGGGACGCTCCATGCCGAATGCCGGGGTCTAATCCCTCTTGGTTTACCGAAGCACCAAACATCCCGACTTTGTGGCTGCCCTCCCCGAACATCGCTTCTTTGACAGAAAACATGAACAAGACACCCGGGCGGGTAGTCACATACCCGGTCTCTTATTTTGCTCAGCAGTTGGCCATGTGGCCAGCTATGATATGGTCCCGAACAACTAAACGGCAAAGGGGTTGGTCGGGAAGCAACCCGGCAGCATGCGTCATTCTTGTCGGAACGAGAGGGAGTGTGTGCTAGGGTGCCAGACTGTTGGGTCGCCTATACTTTATGCTTTCGCGTGCCGGATCGAAATGCGGAGGGGGAAATGTGAGAAGTGACGGAGGCAAGGTACAACGTCTGCCGTTTATCGGATGAGAGAATGTTGTGCATGAGAAGTGGAGGGGGCATGTGATGTTTGTTTTGGAGCATTTTAGCTTGTACTCTAGAACCTTGCTCAGTGAGAAAGAACCCAATCGGGGACGGCTGATGAGCTGATGATTGGAAGGAAGCATTGCCGGATGGAAATCGACAGCCACTACCTTGACCGAGGGAGCAACGTCGGCTTTGTGCCTGCCTGCCTGCCTGACGGCTTGAGACGGAACTAACCGAAAGGCATGTAGCCGGCCCTCAAGCTTTCCTCCAGGGCTCGACTTAGGGATCATGAATTTTCTCCATCATCGAGGGCTCACAGTTCAAATTCGGTTTGGAACAACATCAACTACATCCCCTATCCGAATGACATCAACCAGCCTCTTTGTATTCAACACAACGCAACCACTCATCACCCGTACCCGACACAAGTCAAGGTCATGTCATGCCATATTCTGCCTCTGCCCGGCCCGTCTTTACACACTCACGCTCTGGACTGACTTTGAACCCTCCCATCGTAACTGGAGTCGTACATACCTTAGCTCTCCATTAGCCCCTCCCCCGGGCCGCATACTCCAACCCAATATCCCGGCCCGAGCACCCTCACCGGGAAAGCAGGTTACCACTCAACCAGGACAAACAACATCTGCTTAACAGCCTGACCATGACGGCCGCACCAGAGATCTACCACCCCCACCAACCAGCATGGCAAACCCTCCGAAATGTACATAATCACTTGCAACCGTATCCGTCTCATTCCGTTGGCCAGTTCTCTCCGAAAGGGTAGTTGCCCGCCCCAGCTGGACAGGGTTCGGAGAGTCTCGAGCTTGCTATGAATCTCACCTCCCAAGATCTGACTAAGGCAGGCAGGCAACAACACTCGTGCTGACAGAGGTTGCCATTTTTGGGTTGCCTCATGACGCGGTAAAGGAGTCAAATACATATACATAGTCTTGTCCGTCTTGTCACACTCTCCTTCCGTCACTTCATTCTTCCCGACATCACTCCGGCAATTGTTTTTGAAGAAAAAACAGGTCAAGATAAATTCTCCATACAAAAAATATATATACGTTTCCTTCCAAAGATCGAAAGTTAATTGAAAGGGAAAAAAAAAAAAAAGAAAAGCGGGTATCTATCTTTATTTCTTTCCTCCCAAAATCCCATATGCCTAAATACCACTTTATATACCTTTCACTCCCACCAAATATGTTCACTCAACAAACCACACTCTCAGTCAAAACATCCCACTCCCCATCCAACCCCCCCAACTTCCTAAACATCATCACCCAACTGCTCCCATCCTCCTTCTCCGGCCCGAGTATGCTCTCCCTAACCCTATACCTCTCAGGCACATCATACGGCGCATCCCCGCTCCTCCAAAACTGCATCCCCCCATTGTTATTATTACCCTCTCCCATACCCCCCATCCCACCACCACCACCCATATTCCCCATACCCCCCATCCCCCCATATCCTCCTCCTCCTCCCCCACCACCACCCAAAACAAAGTCCATCCCATACCCATTATTCTGATACGGCAGTTGATAGCCCCCAAAAGAATCAATAGCACTCAGCTCCGGCGACCCCTCACTCCCCACACTCGGACTCCCCACGCTCTGGCTCTGCCGCGAAAGGATATGCCCAAAAGGGGAATCATCCCTCGGAGTAGGCGGCTCAAGTGCAATCCCGGGAGCAACATTAGCACCAGTCGAACCCCCCCAGTTCGAAACCTGAGAATGCGTCGGCTGTGACCCCCCAGGAGCAGGGTTAGTGCTCCCTTTCCCAGCACCCCCAACAAATATCGTCTGCGAAGACCCCAAATCGTCAAGCGACGAAGCAATCGACGGCGCCACACTAAACGAGTGCGCAGACGACACCTCCGCCGCCGTGCTCGCATCAAACAGAAGCGATGGATCAATAGGCATATGATGCTGCTGCTGCTGCCCGGTGGCCATCCCGCCATACTCGACCGAAACAGCAGTCGCACTGCTCGACACCGGCCTGTTATTACCGACAGGAATCGAATCAAACAACCCAAACCCCTGCTGCTGCTGCTGCTGCTGTTGTTGCTGTTGTTGCCCTGGATGATGATGTCCCCCAACAAGAAACCATCCGGAAAAGGCACCCCCTCCAACCCCCCACCACCCCAGGCATCTCCCGGACCAAACTGATATGGAAAATGCTGCTGCATAGTCCCACCCCCGACCGCCCCCGGCGGCGAAACCGACCTCTCCCCCCTGCTCCTCAAATGCTTCTCCTCCAATTTCATGGTGTGCTCCGCAATAGTAGCCATCACATTCGCCCTCCACAAGTTCTCCCTCCGTCCCGGGTTCCGCCTCAGCAACTCCAGCGCCGCCCTCCTGATCATGGGGTGTCTGCACTTGGCCGCCACAAAATACAACGGCGCAATCACATGCATCTCAAACGTAAACATGGCCGATAACCTCCTCGTATCAGGCCCACCACTCGGCCCCTTTGGCCCCTGCCCCTGCGGCGACAGCAGCGTGTTGATAAACTCCGACGCCAGAGGAATGATGGCAGAAAAAGTATCGACATAGTCGTCAAAAACCGTCTCGTGCCGGCTGAGGGCGGTGGAAACCCATATAAACGTCGTGTGAACGTGGACTTGGATCAGGGCGATGGAGCCGGGCGGTGCTTCCTTGGCCTTTGTCGACCGGTACAGCGAAAAGGCGACGTTGAACTTGGCGAGCTTGCGGAGGAGGACGTCCTGCTCCAGCTCAAACGCCCGCATGTCCTCCTCGGGCACCTTGCTGATCTTGGCGGCGTGCGACTTTTTGGCGAACCTCAGGCACTGGTCCATAAAGTCGTACAGCGCGTACCGGACCTCGTCGATGGTCTTGAACACCATGGGGACTTCGGTCAGGGTTTTCAGCGGTTCCGGGATGGCGGTTGGCGCGCAGCCCAGCATCAACGAGGTGAGAGACATGCGTGTGTACATTGGCACGAGGTGCTGCTTGATGAGATCGATCTCGGGGCTTCTTCCTGTAACTCTCGGCCCTAGTTGTGAGAGGATCTGCCGTCCTTGCTCGAGGTGGATGAGCGACTCCTTGTCTTTGCTCTGCATGAGTTCGATACAGACAAACAGCACGCAGGTGAGTAATGGTACTAGTGGCCGGGCGTTGACCGTTCTCATTTGTTCGAGCAGGCAGGCGATGGCGCGGTTGTACTGAAACAGGGCAAACGCGCTTCGGTTCTCGCTGTCGTTGTTGTGAAGCAGTTGAGGCATCATGGCGGCCTGCACCATCCCCTCGTGTAAACTGCTGACAGCAAGGACGGCGTGCCTCACTGCTGGTTCCGTCTGGCAGATCTGAAGAACCAGCACTCGAAAGAAGGCGCCGTCGTGGTCGGCGGCGAGACATGGCGCTGTTACGTGCTGGAAGAAGTGAAAGGCCCTCTTCTCATCCCCGGTAGCCCATTCGAAGAGCGTGGCCAACGGAGCATGAGGCTCTCCCGCAGCATTTTGCCCCAGACCACCGGACCGGCGCCGGCGTTGTGATATAGCTTTGGCGTCGAGGTAACCGTCACATCTCCTCCCTGTTTTGGTGCACCGCATGCAGAATGGCTTTTCTTCGTCGCATTTGACCTTGCGAATTCTACCCGCAGACGGACGAGGCGAGTCCGAGGTTAGCTTGTGTTGACGGAGCGAGGAGGGCCAGGCAGGGGAAGGGTGGTTGGTGGTGGGCAAGGAAGGGCTCGCGCGGCTATGACAGCCAGTTGCGGGTGGATGCAGGACAACGTCGTCAAGAAAAAAAAACCCCTCGCACTTACTTGCATGTTATACAACCCGTCCTGACTTTCTTGGACCCTTTCCTCCCAGATCTGATCAGCTGT